AGTAGGCGACCTAGTGCGAGGTGCTCTTGCCTACTAACTACCTGACTAGGTTGTCATCTAGAACGACAATGATCTGTCCATACATCAGTACTCTGAGGTTGCACTGCCTTTTTATGAATCCTCTACAATCATAAGTTCTATGTATGTGAATCGATCCAGTTTTTGTTGTTGAATAGAAGACGGAGTTTCGCTACACCGAGGTCCGTATATATCCATAATAATAAGTAATTCTAGCTCTAGCCTGGCACTGGCAAAGTCTCAGCGGGCTGTCCCTGGCGGCGGAGTGTTCAATGATTCGAACGGACATATATTATTTTTGTAGCCGAGGGTGTAAATATGATGTCACAAAGCCATTTGTTAGCGCGTTTCCTGGCTCGGTCGGAGACAGGAAAACCGCCAAGGCCCGATATGTCGCTCGTTCTCTGTGTATTTATGATTCACTACCGCTAAGCCGGATAACACCAACATATACATCTATCTATCTGTCTATCTCGGTGTTTCATTTGGGTTCAGACTGCTGAGGATGCTCTTGTTTTGCTCTCGCGAGATTTCAGATCTTTTTCGTGTTTGAATAAACTTGATCTGGTGAAATGAGAGCAGGAAGCATTATTTTATGTTCATTAATTCATACGTCACTTATTGATTGTATACCAAATTGTTTCATTCAGCTGCAAACATAACACTTTTCAATAGCATACCATCCAGATCCAGGAAGTACATAAGTACATATAATAGGGACTGCCCCAAAATAACACAGGGCATCCAATTGATGTCCGTTCAATAATATCTCAGCATATTTCAGCTGCATTTACCTATCATTTGTAATTACGTAGTGAGGAAGTAAAAATTTCAAATATACACACCACAAAATAATTTAGTATCTCGTTCAATAATCTTAGGTCATTTATCTCGAAACCATCGAAACTATATAAAGAAACGGGCTTAGGCCTTTTTGGCGCTGATATCCTCATATAAGTACTATAATAGGACAATAGCAAAAAATTCCTCAATCTGTAAGTCGACTCGGAGTCCGACCCGACGACATAATGCCAACATATTGCATTACCCCAGGGTCCATTCTCTCTGCGGCATTGTACCTCATAACTAACTCCGGTCTCAGGAGACACTAATAGTCGCTAAACAGATAACCGGCGCTGATAGAGTCGAGGTCGAGATAATGGGGAGAGATAGGCGGAATAAGGTTAGATAACGGCGACAACGAGATACGGTCATCATCCACCCTTCGACATGCTAGGACAATGGGCGACAATACTGACATGTTCATTAACAACTGATGAGTGTTGATGTGATTGCAGATGGAGAGCAAGCGCTTATCTGTGATGAGTTTTTTTAATCGAGAAGGGTGTATAACATGGTGATAGCATAGAAGTGATAGGTAGGTGTCATGTTGGAAAGTTACTTTGTTGCAGGAAATTGCGCGAAATTTTAAAAGAGCATCATGTATATGTATACCTTCAAAAAATTCCGAGGTCCGAATCTGTGACATCAATATTGCTCTTTAAACAGACAATAACCGCCTGAGATAACTGTCTATAATGTTTATCTACTCGCTGCATCGGAAGTAGGCTTTTGATCCCTCATTTAAGGACAAAAACCTGTCAATTTACCCGCACGGGAGGAAATAGTACATTACACACCGAGGTGGGAAGTAAATCATTCCTGTCATGATAGATTAGTTAGTTAACCGAGACGCAAAGCGTCGAAGGTTAGCTATAATTTCGAGACAGGCATGAAACTTCCTACCGAGGTTTGTATACATTTTTTTTATCGCTTGGGGCGCACGAAATCCCTATAATTTTCGAAGAACATCGTGCGTTCCTAGGGAGGATAGGGACAGGAGGTAGGTATATTGGATTTTTTTTTGTACTTCTGGAGATTATATGTTGTTGGGAATACTTTATCAGGCAATGAATTCCAGAGCCTAGTCGTTCTATGGATGAAAGAGGTTTGATAAAGTGCTGTTCGACACCTTTCGAGGTTGAAAACTAAAGAATGTGCTCACTGGGCTTGTCTAGTTCGTCTGACTGGTATTGCTAGTGAAGGGATGATAGCAGAGATTTCCGAAGAACATTTCTCGTGGAAGTATATCGATAGAAAAGTGAAAGGTCGCCGACCTTTCTACGGTGTTCCAATGATGTCAAATAGTGAGTGAGTGTGGCGTCACCCACCAGGCGAATGGCTCTTCTCTGGATGGAATCTAAGAGCATCAGCGTATGTTTTGGTGCTGAATTCCATATGTGGGAACAGTATTCTAGAACAGGCCGTATCTGCGCTTTGTAGACCATGAGAAGCTGTTGAGGTGTAAAGTACCCTAATAACACAAGATGTCCATTGGACATCCGTTTTGTGTCCATTATATGTCCAAGGTGTCCATGGACACATTCTGGACATCCATATAGGATGTCCACAGGCAGCAATCCTATGGATGTCCAGGAAAAAGAATCAATATAGTGTCCATTTCATGTCCAAACTTATAATGTTCCTTAACACAACGTCCAACTCATGTCCATAAGATAATGTCCAATGGACATCAATTTGCAGTAGTCCATACACAGTCCATATGATGTACTTACATTGTTGCTTTTTCGTCTCGGGTATCATCGAGATCGTTCGGCTCCTTCGCTGGCGACAGCTGTGCACAGGGTTAGCCGGAGCCGTGTGATGTGTGATGCCGTCCGCCATTTTTGTTTTGTTGTTGAACATCGGTGCACGGACAGAACGCCTGAGACTGATGATTTTATTCTCAAATCTAGCGTTTTGGTAATATCCATACAATCCATTCGAATTTTGTGTACTATTCATAATGACATTATTGTTATAATCTGTTTCATAATATTTGTGTGTGAACGACGAGTGTTTTGTGATGCTATTTCATTCGATCGAAGAACACATGAGTCACTTATTCATTCAAGTGCATGAAGGCCATTATTCCATTGCGGACGTGTTGATGAAGATGTCTAAGGATTTCAACATTAGAACTGGTCTGAAATTGAGTGCCTATCTATATATACATAATATTTATATTGCAATATATGTGAACTTGAGAAATTGGTTCAAATCGATTGTATCAACTGTATCAAACTGAAATGATGAAAGGAGTTACCATAAAAGCAATAACATATTACATTAATATTATATTTTATATTATGAAGATTATTTGTAGTGTTCTTGAATATACCTACTCACATTTTCAAGTAATGACAAGAAACATAGATACTAGATATCCAATGGATGTACAGGGATAATGTCCTATGGATGTACGGTATGGACATCCATTAGATGTCCGTTTGGGACTTCCTATGGATGTCCAGAAAGGTGGAAAGTGAATGTCCCATGGATGTCCATATGCAGTCCCGTGTCCGCATTCTAGTTGTCCATTGGATATCCAGATTGTCCAGACGAGTCTGTCCAATGGATGTCCATTGGACCAACTTGTGTTATTAGGGTATAGCTTTTCGCACAGAACAAGAATCCGAGTTTTTGTGAAGCAGCTTTTGCGATGGATCTGACATGATTAATCCATGAAAGAGTGTTGCTGATGGAAATACCGAGCATAGATATGGTGCCAGACATTATTCAATATCGGGCATACTGAGTTCCGCCTTTCTAGAGAAAATACAGGCTTGAGTTTTGGTGGCGTTGAATTCAACTAGGTTGTTGGTTCCTCACGATGTGATTTCAGCAAGGTCTTCATTGACAACATTGACCTGCCTGCGCCGTGACTTCTTAGTTTCCTGGGAAGAAATGGGAATTTCGGAAGAGAACGCAGTATGGAGGGTACTATCATCTGCAAAGCTGTGTATATGGAGCAAGTTGTTACTCCCAACAGATCGTTGATATGAAGAAGGAATAATGTTATGTTTTGTTTGCATTGAAATCTACCAAGTTATTGGATCCCCATTCGAGAATTGTTGCCAAGTCCATATTTATGGTGAAGTGCCGTAAAAACACGATATTTTCATCCGTTTTCGAGAAAACCGCAATTGAACATTTCAAAGTCTCAGAAGGGTATTTCAAATATTATTTCATTAATGAAGAGTGCATGTGCTTTGGACTGTCAGACAATTGTTTCTGGTAAATGACATTTCTTGTCAGTTAATAAATCTTGGTGTAAGTTCATAATCAATATAACGCCCTGTATCTTTTTCCACAGTAATATTTTATTAAGTCATATTATTTGATCCTATACCGCCATATTTTGGTCCAAACAATCCGCTCTTAGCCTATGTCTCAATATAGTTATGTGTTTAATACACGCGGTGACGCGGTAGGAAATGGGTACCTTTGCTCCCTTCATGTATAAATGCCTATTATCCGGTTCATATTTTTCGGCAGAATCAGAATCTGCTGCGGCTGACAGTTCATCATCAGCCAATAAGGCACTCAATCTACATTTGCTGGAGTGTGAAACATATAATTTCTTCTCCAAATGCTACAAAACCAATGTTGTGTAATTTTTTCATTGAAATATCATTTCTGTATTTTATGTCGTGATTGTCCGATGGCCCATTGTCTGCTAAATATGGAGAAAAAATCTAGTGAGCTGGCCATTAAAAAGTATGACGATATCAGCGCCTCTTACGGATTTTCTTTGAATGAGAACCTTATGTGTCGTCAGTTTTTGACCAATATTTCACACGAGCATCATCAGGCAGCAGCCACCAGCAGCAACTATTTGCTGTGTATTTTCCGTCTGCAGCGGTAGCAATGTGGTGCTACTGTTGTGAGACTGCACAAGTGACAAGTGACTATGCCTTTGTTTCGTGATGTGCTTATCAATATCAAATGTCAAATCATAAACATCTACGTTTTTGTTTTGAATAATTACGATATTACGATTTGGTTATGGATTTCATTATTTTTATTTCACCTTTTTAACACTTTGGTTTGAGATACATATTCAGTGGCAAATAATTTTATGGTGAGTAATGCTCAGACATAAATCCAATTTGTAGGATAACTATCTTTACTTTATAGTTATGACCCTTATTATTGGTAATATAGGAATTGGCCTGTTCATCTTGATCTTACTTTGGATAATCACACTTGTTGTTTTTGTTATCGGCGTCAAACTCCAAAGTAACATATCCTGGATCACATTGGGATCAGCCACAGCAATAACTATACTTTTAGTAATAATACCTACAGATAAGGGGACCCCTGTTGAAGAGTTTGAATCAACAGTAAGTTAGATGAGCCTTATTGCAATCTACCTATCAGAAAACTAAATTTTGTTGCAGGAAAAAGACTACTGTATTATATACAAAAACCTACTACTGGCAATATTATTACTCAGCTGTTTCCTAGGATCTGTCTGCTTCTTTATTTTCCACTGTATTGAACCAGTACACCCTAAACCCATAAAAAGTTTCTATTCTGAAGAATACTAACTTGGAAGAATAATAAACATGAACAGAATAGCACAGAGGGTGATTAAACAAACAAGGTCACTGACTTCTACAATATCTTTGAAGAAAATCATCCATATAGGCAACAATGTGGAATTCTTATCCAAAGTTATGCATTCAAATAATCCTGTTATTGTCAATTTCCATGCTGAATGGTGTGAACCTTGTCATATATTAACACCAAAAATGAAGGAACTCATAGAGCATAAGGATAATATTGACCTAGCCATAGTAGATGTGGAAAATAATGCAGAGTTAGTTCATACTTTTGAAGTGAAAGCTGTGCCTGCAGTGATAGCTGTTAGGGATGGACTGGTTGTTGATAAGTTTATTGGACTGGTAGATGCAACCATGATAGAAAATTTGATAGAAAAACTGGACAAGAAATTATAAGTGCATGTTGATATCATGAGTTATATTTATTTCAGTATAGGGTAAAATAAAATATATTCAATTTATGTTGAGTAATAAATTTATATAAAGTAAAATCAGATCTCAAAAACATCATTCATTTTATAATGAATCAGATCATAACACTTTTACAGAAAACTAATCAATGGATTTTGTTTTGAAATCTCAAAACTATTTTGGTAACAACTTCACTTCACAAACCAGGATTTTTTGATTGTTTGGATTTCAAGAACATACCTATTTCCAAAATATCTTGATAATTTTCCAAAGGAACATTGAAAAAGCAATCAATTAACCAACTGATCACAGTTTCTATCAGTTCTATCATAATTATCTAGATAGAATTAATTCATTGTAGTTAAGAAAACAATGTGAAACTTGATGTCCCTTTACTGATGATAGTTTTCCATTCCATAAAAACTACATTAGATATTGATTGTTATCTTTTGATCTATAACAACTATTCAAAACCTATATTTTCAAAACTCCTGCTGTCTATTTCTGGAATATCTTCCTGTATATTCATCTGCTCCAAATTCCATACTACAAGCAAATTTTGAGCAGTTATTGATGGAGAAATGTTTGAATACTCACATTCAAATTCCTGAAGATGCCTTTCTATTTCCTTGTACTGTGAATAAACTGTGATATATTTTTCCGTCAGTTCATAGGAGTGGAAAGTCATAAGGTTGAGTACTTTGGTGGTTATTTTATTTTTGAAAAAGTCACTCCATTGACCTGCAATGTATCCTTTATATGGATGACTGTGAAATCAATGAGAATAACTTACTTGTTCTCTGGTTTGTTTTGGTTTCCATAATATACTTTTCTAAAGCTCTGAACACTATTTCTATTTCTAATTTATATAAAGCAGGTAGACAGTCACACCTGGTAAAATAAAGTTTTCATTGAATACATCTTCATACCTCAAAGAAATGATTGGATATGTTTATGCATCATTCTGTAGAAAAGTATTAAAAACCTCAAAAAAACTAGATCATCAATAATGTCAATGCATTATTGATTTTTAGACAATTTAGTCACTTACTCTTTTGTATTCTGGTGATGTATAAAAAACGAATTTTTATATGTATTGTAAATGAAACATAACAAGTTTAAACATACATCCATTGGAACAGACTTCAATGTACACATATATCTTTCAAACATTAACACAAATATATAAAAACGGCAAGCATCTGTAACAAAAATGGTAATCATTATGGTATTTTTGGAAATTCATCTGTTGCTCCACTTACCATTAGTGAAATATACTATGCCTTTCTTTGTAGAAGAACAACTTTTTGATTTATTCAAAATAAATTCAATAAATGAAGAATACTGTGATGCTTCTTTGAATAAAAAAGTTAGTTTGTAAATGATATCAACAGGTGGTCTAAGAAATATCAACTCTTTAGTGAAATCACATAGAATTCCAGACCTGCAGTGGAAAGTAATTATTTTTCTCATGTGGGTACTTAGATATTCTTCTTTCTACTTACACACATTCATATTTTTTAAGCCTACAAATATTTGTGAAGATTTTAATAGATGCTTGTAAAAATGTTGACATAACATCTGCTTTCCTCTAAAAACAAAATGAATTATAGTTTTGACAAAAAAGAAATGTTCAACTTTGAAACTTACAATTTCACCAATAAGTTTTACAACACATATTATCATCTTCAAGAATGTGTGGCCACCATGAATTTTCTTCAAAGAAATGTATGGTAAGTTTTTAAAGAATGGATCATCTTTCAGATTGAGAGGTTTATCATCAAAAATAAACTCTTTAAAATATTTGAGGTGCAATAATAATTCTGCTAGGAAACTGAGGATATAACCTGACTTCAAGCCCATTTCATCATGATGCTGCTCACTTGGTGAATATGAAAAGTCCTTTTTCAAATAAAGGGAGTCAGCTTCTAAAATATCTTCAGTTCTCAAATTATTTTTTATTTCCTCCAACAACTCCTGTAAATCTGTGAGCATCTGTAAACTGGCACATACTAGCTGAAATTCAGATTTATTCCAAAAAAATATATAGTAAAGTTGTTGATTACTCAGAACATTCTCTTTACCTTGTTAAAACTCATCAAATTATCTCTGTGATTCAGTTCATCTTTGTTGAGTTTTGATAACTGAATTATTATTGGAAACAGGACATTCATATCTACCCTATTTTTTTCAATAACAATCCTTGTGGAAACTGTTTGGTTCTTCAAATAAGGTATAGAATTTCTTGCTGAATGTGCCAGGGTATTGTCAATGGCATATTTCTCTATTTTGATGGCTTTGAGTACAAAATCAGTATGATTTTTCAAAGGGTATTCTAGAAAATGTCCAAAATAAGATGTGTACAAATGAATTTCTCAATGAACTCTACCTGGTTCCAAAGTAACATGCAATTTACTTTTTTCTGATCTTGATTGTTCACTGAGTGAATCATCTGTTCTTTGTTTTGCTTGGGGTACCTGTCTAGTGGTATTGATTTCAGTAATACTTACAGATGTATTCATGGAACGTTTTGTTACTTCTAGGATTTTTTGTTTCAAATTAGCTATTTCTAGATTCTAGAATCATTTGGGTGATATCAGATTATATATTTGTTTAAATTCCTTGAACTTACTTTGAATTCCAATTCACTTTTAACAGACTGAAATTGCTTTTCAGTAATATTTAATTTATTTTTCCACTCATTTTGAAATCTATGTTGATCACTACTAGACTGATTCTTTGTTTCTTTCAATTGAGTCCTCAAAATTGCAACTTCTCCATCTTTTTCTTCACATTGCTGTTGAAGTTTTTCAATTTCTTTCTCATATTTGTAGATTACATTATTTTTATTAGATTCTGTGGAGTGCCTACTAGTACTTGGCCGAATGGATGTGTCCAATTGGGTTGAGGCAAATATTTTACCAGGATCTTTAAAGACATTATAGCTTGGTAGAGCACTAGCATTCAATTTAACATTTTCCTAATAATGAACTATTATTATCAGATGATCTATTTCTATTCCAAAGTTCTTACTTCTTCTAATACTTGGCTTGCTCGGTTGAGGCAATCATCTAAAATACTGTCATCAAAATCGTCGCCCCACAATGCATCAATATCATTGTCTAGTTTTTGTTTTTTGTAACTACTCGTCTCAAAATTATTTGTCCTTTTGGTCATGTTGTGTATTTTTACGATCCTCAGCATAACATTAACTTCCCACTTTACATTATTTTATCATTTCAATCTTTGTATTTTGAGTGGGAAAATTGGAAACAAAAAATAACACAAAAATAAATGTTTTCAGTTTTGACAGTTTGGCTTTTCTCTTATTCTTCTCCAATAGTTATTATTGTCACCAGTGTCACTAGCCGTTAGTGCTATGGCTGTATCGACCTATGTCTGCCACTCTCATGCCTGATGGCAAGTAACTTAATGTCAACGGACGATTTATCAGTTGAAACTAGTAGAATAGGAGGAAGTAAATTAGAAGAAGGAATATTGAGGTTATGAAAAATTGTTTTCTTCGGCTTCATCGGCTGCGAAAAATTTAAAATTTCACAAGATTTTATGAAAATTGTGCTATTTTCAAATTGGTGATCTACGGTTTGGTGTACCGACTTGGTGTTGGTAGGGTCTGAAATGGATACAAAAATCATTATCAAAAAGCAACCCAAAGTGAATGAAAATAGTGATCTAGAAAATTATAGTAAAGAGGTATATAAACATGATCATGGTTCAGATATATGAATAAGCTTGTAGCACTTCAAACAATCGTTGGGAAATGAATGGGTGAATGCATGAATAACAATGAATAAAATATGAACAGAGGTCTCCAGAAAGTATCAACTATTATGATCCATAATTGAAGCAGTTGTTATTTTCTATAATGATGTCACATTATTGTCATGAAATTTTAGGAACTGATTCAGAAAGTCATATCTTTAACAGCACATAATACACAATTGAAAAATATAATTGCAAAGTCAGCAATTCAAGAACAGAAACAAAAGTCAGCAAAGCCTTTTGATTTTTCCAAGTAAGTAATTGTCATTGAGTTCTACTAGAATTTTTCTTTTGTGCATAACTATTTATATTTATTATCTCATTCAGTTTATGCTCAAAAGGTATAGTTTCATTGGTAGTTTTAATAAATCAATCCTATCAAACTTCCAAAATCTTTGGGGTCCTTAGAGACTATTCTATTCCACAAATTTTAATCTTTTGGTATAAATCTGGTGAGCAGCAGTTTTCCACCAAATGAAATTTTCAGGTGTAAGTTTAAACATGTAGCACTCAAAATATTCTACCTAGGATGGGAATACAAGGGTTTTGTTGTTCAAGAAGATACAACACAAACAGTGGAATACCACTTATTTGAAGCACTTACAAGAGCACGCCTTATAAGAGATAGGCCTTCATCAAACTACCATAGATGTGGCAGAACAGATAAGGGTGTCAGTGCATTTGGTCAAGTGATTTCAATAGATTTGAGAAGTAACTTATCTGAGAATGAATCAAATAATTTTGAAAAGGAAATAGATTATTGTAAAGTACTGAACAGCATATTACCTGACAGTATACAGTGTGTGGCATGGAGTCCAGTGGATGCTACTTTCAGTGCAAGATTTGACTGCAGTTGTAGGACTTATAGATATTATTTTCCAAAGGGTTCTTTGGATATAGCAGTAGGTAGTATTATCCAAAACATATGGCAAAAAGTTTGATATTGTAAAATTCCTTTCAGAGCATGAAAGTTGCAGCAGAAAAGCTGTTAGGACCACATGATTTCAGGAATTTTTGTAAAATGGATGTTGGTAATGGAGTGACAGAGTTCATAAGAAATATATCTGCAATCAATATTGAACCAGTTTGTGACCAAAATATTGATGATGGTAACACACATGAATTCCTTCCAAGAAAATTCTTTTCTTTTTCTCTTCATTATAGGTTATTCCATTTATATGATAGCAATCAGGTCTAAGGCATTTTTGTGGCATCAAATTAGATGCATCATGGGGATATTATTTTTGATAGGACAGAATAAGGAGGAACCTAATCTCATAAATGAGTTGTTGGATGTAGAAAAAACTCCTAGGTAACATATCAATTTCTCTATGGTCCATGGTTTTCTACATTTTTTGAAAATCTAGATGATAATTTATTTTCTTTTACAGAAAACCAGAATATAGAATGGCAAATGAACTCCCTCTGAATTTGTATTTCTGTGAGTATGATGGGATCAAATGGCACTATAATGATTCCTTAAATCAAGTTATAGAAAAACTCAGTTCACTGTGGACCACTCATGCTCTAAAGTAAGTCTTGGTTATAGTGTGTTGAGTCTTAGTTTATGCTGTTTTTTTAGAGAAACAATGTTGAAAGATATGTTGATCAGTTTGAAAAATGATCTACAAACAGTATGTTCAAATAATGAAGATAAACATGAAAAATGCCTAAGTGAACATCTTTTACCAAAACATAGTCCAAACAACTATCTTCCAGTGATGAAAAGACAAACTTGTAATAGTCTAGAGAGCAAAATAGAACACTTTGCTAAAAGGAAAAGGATCCAAATTGTTGAAGGAAACTCTGGAAATATATCAAAATAAAAAAATAGGTATATTATTTCTTATCCTTATACACAAATACCCTTGAGTTTCAATGGTCAAGTTCCGGTCCTCTTGTTCTTGAAAAACTGCAATAAATTTATAATTGATGTAAAAATGTTCAAAGAAGATAAGATTTCCACAAGTTCCAAAAGTTACCTTTCTTACAAGATCAAATGTTTGATCACAAGTACCAACTTTCAGAGATTTCTTTATCCAGTTAGGCAACATATTCTTAATTGACATACGATCATATCTCTCATCCACTAATAACACAGTGGCATAGTCGTTTTTGTGTCTTACAGCCCTGCCGATACATTGATTCACAGATTTCATGCACTGATTTTCATAAAACTTTTGGCCAGAACCAGCACCCTACAAAATAAATATCAAATTATCAATAATGATATGAAGGGAATCCATCCCACAAGCTCTGAATTGAAATATTTGGGTTCCACTAGAAGCTCAGTTGTTTTTATCTTGAAAATAAAATATGAAATTTGTAACATGGTTGGAATGATGGAAATCAATTGATAGCAACGTCAATTATAGCCACCTTAATAGCAACTTGTCTTATCAAAAGGATCAAAATCGATGAAAAATGAAAAATGGAAAAAAATGCTATAACCCTAATTTTTCAATCTTCGAAAAATTCAGATTTGGAGGGAGAATTTATCAGTTTTCCCAGTAATGCACCCTCAATCAATTGTGTCCCAATTTAATTAAACTTCTCAATATCACAACTTACTTCAAACAATGGTGGAAGTAAGATATGGTGTAATTACTGATGTGCTTTTGTTTCAGAAATTTTACTCGACCTCTCGAGACCAGTGAGAGCAATGGTTCCGTCGATCTTCTAATAGATGGCGACATTGCACAATTATGATATCTGTCAGTTTTGAACTTGTCACAGATTTTTTGAATTCAGAGTTGAATAATCCCACTGTTACATATGTTCCGCGTACCTAAAATGCCATTTGCCATTTTATTTTCACTCGTCACAACAACAATAGCAGCATCACCATCTAGCGGGAAAATGTAGAATCAACGTCTCGCTCGTTGTGACGTAGAAAAATCATAGTAGGCGGTCGAGTGATTTTTCTGAAATTTTCAATATGTAATAATGGCCGAATGCGCGCGCCATATCTTACTTCCATCATTCTTCAAACAATTATTTTTCATCAATTTGAATTGGATTAAAAAAAATTGCAATTTTGATCTTTTTCTGGGGAACTAGGAAGAAGTGATTCTGCACAAGTAATATTTCTTTTTTTTGCACTGACAGTAATGATTTAATTATTTCAGGTAAGTCATAAAATAACCAAAGAAACATAATATATTCAGACACTTTCTTTACCTCTGTTTTATCTAAGTAAGCCATTTTTTCTTTCAAGTCAGCAGCCATTATATTGGCATATGGTAGTCCAATCACAATAACACATCTTCCCAGATCATCACTAAAATTTAGACCTTCACTCAGTTTCCCACCTGAAAATGCATTGGTATTAAATATTATTAGCTGCTTTGATATAAGCCAAAAACTAGATTTCATAATATGATACAAGATATACATTTTTACTGTTTTGAATTACCTATATCAACTTGTTGAATCAAAAAGACGAACCTACAACACTCAGTAGAAGAGCTCCTGTACTGCCTGGTTTTATAATAGCCTTTGCATAGTTTTCCAAAACCACGTCAACAGAACCTGAGTTTTGGGGCTCACGAAAAACTGTTTTACCGAAATTTGTATCTTTAATTTGTTGCCAAACCCAATTCTCGTAATTGTAAGATGGAAAAAAAACCACTATCCCACCTTTTACCATGTCACAAGCTTGTTGGATTATATGTTTTATATTGCCGCCCTGAAAATTCATATACAGTGTGTATACAGGGTGATCTACGGTGGATGGCCTATTAGAAGTATCTGGAGAACGAAAAGACAGAACATTCTGAAAATTGGGATTCTTTGATAATTGAACATTCTCTATCCGTCTAAAATATTTTCATCGAGACAGTGTTGCCACTTTTATCAAAAACAACTAGCATCTTTGTAATTTCAAATGGAACACCCTGTATTTTATTGCATTTTCAGATTCTTCCTGAAGAGCTGATTTCATCAATGCATCACACTTGGGGGTTTAGCAAGAATAATTAAAGAGATATAGAGTGTTCAAAATCGAGATTTTTCAATTTTAGGATTCTTTGTGTCGAAACTATTGATTATCGATCAAAAAAGCTTACACGTCGCTATGTTAACTTTTGATTCACTATATCTACTGGAATTTAATCGGAAAAATACAGGGTGCTTCAAGATTCAGAATTCTGATCATCCTGTATCTGTTCCAATTAAATGTCAGTAGATAGAGAATCGAAAGTTAAGATAGGAACATGTAAGCCGTTTTGATCGATAATGAATAGTTTCGACACAAAAAAATCCTAAAATTGAAAAAATCTCGATTTTGAACACCCTATATCTCTGTAATCATTCCTGCTAGACCCAAGTGTGATGCATTGATGAAATCAGCTCTTCAGGAAGAATCTAAAAATGCAATAAAATACAGGGTGCTCCATTTGAAATAACGAAGTTGCTAGTTGTTTCTGATAGAAGTGGCAACACTGTATCGATGAAAATATGTTAGACGGATAGAGAATGTTCAATTATCAAAGCATCCCAATTTTCAGAATGTTCTGTCTTTCCGTTCTCCAGATACTTCTAATAGGCCATCCACCGTGGATCACCCTGTATAGTGTGTAGTAAAGTTGTATAGAAATTGGAACAATGTGAGTACTGATTTTTCTGAAAATGTTATAACAGTCATATTCAATTAATCAGATACTTTATTTCGACATTGTTACTATGGTAACCACCAAATTACTATTTATTACAATAGCTGACCCACCCTGCAAACGTTGTTCTGCTATATACATTTATTTCTAGAAAATATTTTTTTGTTTGAATATTTATCTACACACTTTCATTATTTTGTTTCCTACTTCTTTTTAGTTTGGTTATCCATGAAAACGTGTTTCTTTAGTTTTTCAAAATACTATTTATTTTCTACTCCTTTTTAAGTTCGGCCTTGAGTTTTGTTATTTATAGGAGCGTGTTTCATTAAAATTCTCCAAAATTCTATGTATTACAAAGTTCATTCACCATATTGGACCCGCCATCTTGAATTTCAAAATTTTGACTAGAATCGGATCATAATTACTAATCTCATCCGCCATATTGGATCCGCCATCTTGGATTTTGAATTTCGACGAAATAATCATAATCTCCGACCCCGAAAATCCCTACGAACCAATTTTTAATGGAATCGGATCATAATTACAAAACTCGTCTGCCATATTGGATCCGTCATCTTGAATTTCCTAATTTTGAAGAAATAATCATAATCTCCGACCCCGAAAACGCCCAGATACCAATTTTTAATAGAATCAGATCATAATTACAAAACTCGTCCGCCATATTGGATCCGCCATTATAAATTTTCAAATTTTGACAAAAAATCATAATCTCCGACACTGAAAACTCCCAGATACCAATTTTGAATAGATTCAGACCATAATTACAAAACTCTTCCGCCATATTGGATCCGCCATCTTGAATTCACAAATTTGAATCATAATCTCCGACCCCGATAATCCCCAGATATCAATTTTGAATAAAATCAAATTACAAAAACTCGCCCGCCATATTGGATCCGCCATCTTGAATTTTCAATTTGAAAAATTGTTTACGACCGATTCTCAGACCTATCGAATATGCACAAAAATTTTCATAAGAATCGGACAAGCCGTTTCTGAGGAGTTTGGCAACAAACACCGTGAAAGGGTCAGAAAAATTTTATACAGTGCTTTTCTTTAATGCCCCCCCACCTACCCCTTTATTTTTTGAATGGTTCAACTGAAAAAATTGAAACTTGGGGTAATGAAATTGATGCATGAATACTATATTTTGGAGTGAAATTGACAGGTGAAAATTTCAAGATGGCGACTGTTTGTTTTCCGGCACCTATTATATGTTCACTCGAAAAATTTCCGGTAATAATTTACGCTCTAGGGAGATTTATAGGTATCTGAGGAAACAAAGTTTGCAAAATGGTCTAAAATTATTAGATCAAGAGGAAGCAGTCATATTTTTTCACTTACCATAGACATCCTGTTTTCAAAATTGAATAAAAGATTCCCATTATTTTGTCCTTTGGTCACAATAATTGGCAGAATATTTTCTGGGGCTACAATATGATCGCAAGAGAACTCCACAATCCTATCTGGACTCGCACCCGCTTTGATAAAAAGTCTGTCTCTAAACTCGCTATTTGGTTTCATTGTGCCCCCTGCCAAGACAACTGCCCTCGCTTCTTGAACTATATCCGTGAAGTTCGATGAAGGGTCCAAGAGAAGGAACTGCAATTTGCACTGCAGTTTGTCCGTGCTTTTTTTGAATAATATTCGCCCGTCTTTGTAGGAATATGTGAGCGTTTCTAGGAAGGATAGGACAGTCAAGAGCGGGTTGCTAACAGGCGGTATCACAAGTTTCTTTGTATTTTTTTCGGGTGTTTCTGCTTCTTTTTTGTTCTTGTTGCTTTTGGTATTTTGTATGCTTGCTAAGAACTCTTTGACACCTTTTTTAATTGTAGTTTCTTCGGTTTGTTCGATGGGATATTTTATGGCATAACTTCGAATCTAAAAAAAATTTGTTCCTAGAGGGTGATTATTTATAATTTCATTATCGTCAATCAATGAAATCCAGTCAAATGTTGTATAAAATCTGAAATCACAGTAAGTAATGCAACCAACAGACTTACTTTTTGTGCCAACCTGGCTTCTCTACAAAATTTTGTTAATCTAAACATATTAAAGTTGTCAATGTTTCCCATTAGAACGAAATTTTCCAATGTGAAAATTTCAGTGGTATTACAGGTGCTATTATCATCTAAAATTAAAGTAAATCACAGATATTCAGATTCAGGGAATTATGTTGTACAATTATATACTTATACAGGGTGTTCCAGATTTCATGCAGGAACTCGCAAAATAACTCAAATATAGGGCATTCAACATTCAAGTTTGATTGAAAAATACTTCATTATTATTCCATATCTACGGAAAAGAGAAGTGATCGTTTTCAAATTCGACATACTTCATTTCCCCGCATCGACAGTAGGTTTGAGTGGAAAATATAGTAACGAGAGTATTTTTTTATCCGTTTGGAGACCAGAATATACTTGTTTTATGCACTTGCATAAAATAGTTTGCAAATAAATCGAAAAGTTTCTTGGTCAAAATTTCGCAAGATTCGTTTCATTTTCTGATTTACTGGTTTTTTTTTTCAAACCAAGTGATGTCCTATTTATTTTTAGAAAAAGGGTACCTATGTATTGGCGCCTATATGGATTCCTGTAATTATTTTTGAATCGCACTGTAGACGTGGCGCGGCTTTACTTTAGAAAAGCAATGTGTTGAATTTGTAAAGGATAACTTATATATTTCCTGATATATAGAATAATAATTGATGCCCTGTAATTGAATTATGCTCTCAAAATTAATGTAGAAAAATCTAGACCACCCTGTAGACATTCATTTATGTTTTATGCTTTTTGTTTCATTATTTCTTTTTATTTTTAGAACCAATATATTTCAGACCAAGCAAGATGATTTCATAAAGATATATTTCATGAACTGGTATGTTATGATTGTTATGAACAATACAAATTCTATTTCTGAGTGGGTCTGAAATCAAAAAGTCAAAATTTCAATAGGTATTAATAAAATTGGTTTCAAAATTCTAGGAGCCACGTTAGGGAGAATACAGGATTTTCTATTGAAAAAAAAACTACCCCTACAGACCAACTCACTGAGCAACCCACATTGAGCATAGTATTATGTACATACAGTGTGACCCACTTGAAAGCGGGACACCTCAAGAAAATTTTTATTAATCCACCGATTTCGACGAACTCTTTTTTGAATTGTAGAGTTCGAAAAACTGTAGTTTAGGGCGAAACATATTTATATTTCCACAAAATCCAAGGCCTGCTGCGTTTCTTGGTCAAAATTTCGCGAGATTCCTTTCATTTTCTGATTTACTGATTTTTTTTTAAATACCAAGTGACGTCCTAGTTATTTTTAGAAAAAAGGTACCTATGTATTGGCGCCTATATGGATTCCTGTAATTATTTTTGAATCGCACTGTAGAGACGTGGCGCGGCTTTACTTTAGAAAAGCAATGTGTTGAATTTGTAAAGGATAACTTATATATTTCCTGATAATATATAGAATAATAATTGATGCCCTGTAATTGAATTATGCTCTCAAAATTAATGTAGAAAAATCTAGACCACCCTGTAGACATTCTATGTTGTATGCTTTTTGTTTCATTATTCCTTTTTATTTTTAGAACCAATATATTTCAGACCAAGCAAGATGATTTCATAAAGATATATTTCATGAACTGGTATGTTATGAACAATACAAATTCTATTTCTGAGTGGGTCTGAAATCAAAAAGTCAAAATTTCAAGGTATTAATAAAATTGGTTTCAAAATTATAGGAGCCACGTTAGGGAGAATACAGGATTTTCTATTGAAAAAAAAAACTACCCCTACAGACCAACTCACTGAGCAACCCACATTGAGCATAGTATTATGTACGTACAGCGTGACCCACTTGAAAGCGGGACACCTCAAGAAAATGTTTATTAATCCACCGATTTCGACGAACTTTTTTTGAATTATAGAGTTCGAAAAATTGTACTTTAGGATGAAACATATTTATATTTCTACAAAATCCCCAAGGCCTGCTGCGTTTATTTCAAGAAGATAAAAATCAAGAAATCGTATTTGCGATTTTTTTACGAAAAATTTGAAATCACCATTGGATTCAGCACCCCCTCAAATGGTTGTTTACCAAATTTCAGGAAATCGGCTATATCTCTCTTTGACATGAATAATCACTAACTGATTCTGGAAAAAAATCAACTAGTACCCTGTAGATAATTTTTTCCCAGCACTCTCAAAAATCATTTCAAATGATAACTGAGCTAGAGGGGGGAGCATTTATGGTGAATCACCCTGTACATATATCCATCAAAAGATGATCTCAATTAGGACTACAGGGACTGCAGTATTTTTCAACACCAGGCAAAAAAGTGGAAATCATGACCTAATATTTTTTCCAAGGCAGTCTGAAATCTAACTCACAAGTTAACATGGGACAAGCATATTGGCATGCTCAAAGAAAAAATTTTCTCCATAGTTGGTGCTCTAAGATGTCAAAAACAAATATAGCAGATACCATACTCTCACATCCTTAGTAAAATGAACTATCTTATAAATATTTGGGGTTCATGTTCCAAGAATACTGTTAACAAAATATCTGTACTATATAAAGAAGCATTAAAAGTACTGTATCGTCTTCCATATGACACCCCATCAAATCAACTTTATGAAGAAACAAATACATTTTCTTTGGAAGAGCATTATCTGATAAATACTCTCAAAATTTCTTTTGATATTATCAATAAACACCTCAAATCTAACTTCATATTGATAAGGAATTCTCAAATCCATGAACATCATACTAGACAATAGGACTTGTTTCATCTTGATGCTGCTAATTCTACACTTGGCCAAAAAAAGTTCACTCACGGAGCTATCTCAAAATCAATAAATTACCTGATGATATCAAAAGTTGCACAAATATCACCCAATTCAAAATTAAAATCAAGAAACATATCCTCTTGCAAAGAGAAAATCAAACCTGAGTGAATAATTTCTCATTCACTAATTTATTTCATCTTGTCATAATGTACTTTTCATGAGCTTTTTGTTTTATTATTATGATTTTTTTTATTCTATTGTTTATTTCAATAACTATAATTTAATTTGATAGCACATGAATAATCTCATACCAGATATTATTCATGTTATTTCATTGTAAATGTTAATGAATATATTTATATTTCAATGAGATGCAATGTAATGTTTATAGCAAAGAATGAAATAAATAAATATTATTATTAATTTATACATTCCTCAACATCATGGGAAGAAAGAGTATCAAATGAAAAATGTGTGAATTTTGAAATCTTTGTTTCCCTCCATATATTGATACCTAGTCTGCTGTAAAGTTGCAGGGATGAATTTGCCATTCTATCATACCACATACCCATAATATGAAAGAGCTGGCCTAGGACAAATAATAACTGGTTTATCATCAACAAATTCTTAGCTGAAAAACGTGTATGGAACCTATTTTTGTATGATTTCATCTGTTGCAGAGCATGGTAAACTTGCCCATAATTCAAATCAACATTATGCATCTGTGCCAATGCCTCTAATAAATTATGAGCTTCATCTACTATCACAATGTTGTTTTTCAATTTAATTCCATTTGCTTCTCTTGTTGCTTTATGTAATAATGTGTTATAAGGAATAAATATCACTTCAGCATCTTCTGCTGCTTTTCTGCTAGCATAGTAAGGACAAGCTTTCAGTTCTTTTGCATTGTTAACTAGATCTTCAACATCTTGTACTTGAACTAGTGCAAAATTTCCTAATTCCTCTATAGCAGTTTGCTTGTAATATGGACATGAACAAGAGGTTCCTTTTTGCTTCTTTACTACTTTTCCATCTTGGTCAACTTTTGCCTTTGGAAGTTTTTTCTGTAAATCCACACATCTGAAACACTAATGTTTGAGATTGAACCATTCTTTTTGTTTTCTAGTATAAATCACCTTTCATTGATAAGTGCCATACTTTTCAACTTTGATACCTCAGGATTGATGCAATAGGCTTGTCTTGAAGCTAATGAAGCCACCCTCACATCATTTGCAAAAGGCGATTTTATAATTTCTCCTACAAACTGGGCCAATTGAGAATGTGTTCTACTGCAAATGTAAATCTGAAAAATATTCATTCCAATTGTAATATTTAATTTTCATTTTATACTTTACTTTAGATGGTTCATAAGAAGTTTCTTTCTCATCTTCATCAGACACATAATCATCTGTTGCACTCAGTTCTGGTTCTTCAGGTAAAATATCTTCATCCTCATCAACATTCTTCTCAATGGAATCATCTTTCAGCAATTCATGTTGATTATTATGGTTTTTATTGAGGTTTTTCCATTTTTTTGTCAACTTATATTCTTTAACCTTTTCCAGATTTTTCAGCTTTTTTTCATAATCTTGTATCTTTGATTCCTGAATTTTCAGAAAGTTCAATTTTTCTGTAAGCTCTCTTTCTTTATATTGAGCCACTATCCAATCTTTTTCATCATCAGCTACCTCTAATTTTTCTTGCTCAAGTTTTGTTATGTTGTTGGAAATACTCAATCTCTTAAACTCTTCATGATCTTTCAACCATCTAATGGCCCCACAAATAATACTTAGAGATTTACCCTAAAAATTTGTATTTATTACATGAAATCACTTCTAATGGTTTGAAATCTCACAGTGCCAGTGGGGCTTTCAAAAATTCCCAGTTTGCCATTTTCCAAAACAGAGTAAAGGTTTTTCATAAACTCATTTTGTATTCCATAAGGTGGAAATGGAAAATCAAATTTATCAGGAATCTTCAAACTACCTTTTATAATCTCTTCTAATGTATTCATTATTTATATTATTTATTGTTTTGTTTACATTTGGAAATGAAAATGATTAACTTTAATATGACAGATCCCGCGTGGAATTCCAACCACATATGTTCTTCTTCTAATTTTTACGTATTATCTCATCCGATACGTTTGCTGTTTTAGTCTCTAACTTGATATTGGTTATGGTTATGTTATTGGTGAAAATATTGTGAAAATGAGTGATATAAAACTGTGACATGCGCAGAATACTTCATAAAAGTGCCATCACATCACATGACCAGAACATTGGCCCCGTGACCAAAATTGAAGGAAAATTCAAAAAATATCAAAATTACAATTTAGTTAAATCGAATATGGATATATTGGATCCTTTGGAAGTTAGGTGAGAAGAACACATTCATAAGGTAGTGGTCTTTCTGATGTTACATAATACCCAGCATATGACAAGGTCATATTAATGTGCCTATAATCACAGTATTTTATGAAAATGTGGCCATAATATGATAATAAGGTAAATATTATTGATAATGAATAGATACATCATTCTGATATAGCGAGACTGTAGAAGTGGAAAGTAAAGGAATGTTGAACGAAATTAACGAAATTCATATCAAACCACAAGCAATGGATAGTGATGATTGTGATGATGATGGAAATGTTGATCATCTTTCCCCCCAAACTTTGTTGGAAACTCCAGATCATGAAGTACAATACTCTCTTAGATCTCCTGAAGGTTTGTACCACCATATTCATAAGTATATATTATATAAGGTTGATGCTGGCTATATATTATAGGCAATAATGTGGTGACCTACAGAGTAGTACAAGTTGATGATAGCAGTGTTCAGGGTGTTCCTCAAATTGTGTCAGCTGAGTCACCAGGATATGGAAATACCAGTAGTGCAGTTTTGACCAGTAACCTCAATGGACAACTTTATGTCATAGGAAATGCAAATGAAATGTTCACAGCAAATGGGGGCTGTGGCAGGACTATTGCTCCCAGGTCATCAGTGATGGATGGTGGTAGTGGTGTGGTTTGCAATTTGAAAAAGGTAAAATGGTATCAATAAGGAACCAATAATAATTTGTTGATTTTATGAAATTTAATATCATCACAGTCTGTATTGTCATTTTTAGAGAGATGATCGCAGAAGAGCAACCCATAATGAAGTGGAAAGAAGAAGGAGAGACAAAATAAACAACTGGATTACTAAATTAGCCTCAATTATCCCTGATACTACTAGTGGAGAAATTAGAGCAAATGGGCTATATGATGGACAGTCTAAGGGTGGTATTTTAGCAAAAGCTTGTGATTACATACTGGATTTGAGGGATATTAATGAAAGATATGAAGCACTTAGTGAAAAATATGAAGCATTAGTCAATACTGCAGAAGTGTTGAAAATTAAAAACTCAACAATAGAGAGAGAAAATAAAGAATTGAAAGCAACTTTGAAGAAACATGGTATTCTCTATGTACCAAAGGAATTTTCATCTTAGTGGGATATAGTTTTTATTTTATGAATTTAAGGAATTTGTTATATTATTTTTATAATTTAAAATGTTATGGTTGAATATTATTTTTGGTTTGTTGTACAGAAATTCTCCATTATTGGGTTGTACTAATAATTTCATATAATATATAATATGAATAAGTGATGCAGTTGAAATGTAAATAAATTGATTATGAACAAACTTGAATAGCAAATATTTTGCCTGGCATGAAGAAAAATTAGGTAACAATCTAAATTACATAATTTTAGCTCTTATCACCAAAGGAAGATAAACTACATTCCAGAAATGTTGGGAGTTCAATTTTTATAATTTATGCAGCTGCTTATGGTATATAGGGTGATCCACGGTGGATGGCCTATTAGAAGTATATGGAGAACAAAAAGACAGAACATTCTGAAAATTGAAATGCTTTGATAATTGAACATTCTCTATCCCTCTAAAATATTTTCATTAATACAGTGTTGCCACCATAGAAGTTGCCACTTCTGTCAGAAACAACTAGCAACTTTGATATTTCGAATGGAATATAGGTAGAATAAGATATTCATCAGTTCTACCAACCTTGGAAGATATTGGATGATGATGAGTGAATGATGAGCACGAATTCAATCTGACCTGAAATGAGCTTTATGAACACAGGACGCAAAGAGACAGGGCGCCACAAATAATCCGTGCGGAAACAGAAGTGGGTAACTTATCTCTGCTAGTAGTTACTCTAGTTTACAGAAAATATCCGCGGTCGGCCCCAACAGTAAATGCGTTCACAGTATTTTTTCCGATCAGTCACTACGAAAAATGAAGAAGAATCAAACAATACAAGGATTATTTTGAACATCGTGATTTGAACGATGCCTCATTTCAGGGCAGATTGAGTTCATGCTGCTGATGACTTCTCTTTTCTCTTCTAGCCGACCTTTCGGAAGGTTTGACAAGTTTTGACTTGATGAATTTGATGTGCTGTTGATTGAGGTTAGAATTTTTCTTCAATTTCTGTTTTTAAAAATGAACGTCTTTAATAAAATCAGAAATTTTAGAAATATAGGCAGCATTCATAGATTATATAGTGTAACTCCAAAAGAAAACATAGAAAAAATTGTCAAGAATAATAAAGTTGTAGTTTTTATGAAAGGAGTTCCTGAACAGCCACAGTGTGGGTTTAGTAATGCAGTAGTACAAATTTTGAGAATGCACGGCGTAACATATGATGCCCACAATGTATTACAAGATGAAGCTCTTAGACAAGGTAATTTCAATGAAAAACCAGCTAATATGCTTCATCTTTATTGCAATATTTTTTTATTATAATGTCATCATGCACACTTTTATTACCTACCTTATACACAATAAATTACCTGTAGAGTGAAATAACCAACTACTGATCCACTCATTTGCTCATCATTTTTTTCATTTTAGGTGTCAAAGACTACTCCAATTGGCCCACAATCCCACAAATTTATATAAATGGTGAATTTGTTGGTGGATGTGATATAATGCTACAGTTGCACCAGTCTGGTGATCTTATTGAAGAATTGGAGAAGGCAGGAATCACCAGTGCCCTCCTGGAAAAATCAAAAGATGAGAAGCCCAAATGATTAAATGATCTTTTTGTATATATGTAAAAAAATAAATTATTAGTAGATAGTATTTTGAAGAATACTCATAAGGGTGGGTCAACAACTATTTATGATAATCAATGTCATAGATCCTTCAAATGCTCTAGTGCAGATTAAAATTTAGCCTCTGTTCTGGATAGAATTCTTCCTTTCTTGAAGCTATCATTTCCAAGAAACCAACTGGATGCATATTTTTCTTCTGTCTGTATAAAGAATGGATATTTGAAAATGAACTGTCTCATCTGCAAATAATATTGAAAATAAAAATAGATTTTGAATATACATAATTGTATAGATACTTCTTGCTGCCCTCCTAACCAATTCAGTAATCTTGATTTGCAGATTCACTGGGTCCATACAAATCAGGGGTTGCTTCTTTTTTTATCTGCTTCTGAAAATACCCTTGAATTTGAAGAAAAAATGTTAGTCCACAGGACAGAACCCTTCCCCAAATCTTCCAATGGTTTTATTATTTTATTGCATGAGAACAATACTTTCTTTAAAGAAATGACATTACATTCATTAATTTCTATCAGTAATCCCAAAATAAGTTTCCCAAGAAATGAAAATGGTCCAAAATATCACCACCAGTGATATTTATACTGATGTCTGCAGCTATTGATTGGTAGTCAAGAATTCAGTGTTAGAAACAGCCATCTCAATAGGCCTTTTCATCTAGACATATTTTTAAGACGCATGCGCTCGTTTTTAGATCCAAAAATTCATTGGGTAATGCGAAGGTGAAGTCTCATTGGGTATAGTTCCAACACAAAATGCTGATTGGCCATTTCGAATATGGCGAGTATTATTGACGTTCTGTCAAATGTCAACAGTGTCAACCACCATGAGCATTCGTCATTGAGAAACATCAATAACAACATAGTATTTTTGTTTTTATATTCCATGTGTGTATCAATTGTATTATAATAATTTAATTCCAAAAAACGTTACCTATTCGTTACTGAGGAGTGTGGTGCTGTGATGTAAGTGTTTCGGTGAAAATGGCCGCCACTGTCGTTGGATGCGAGATGTAAACAGAGATAGTCATTTGTCATCTAAATGAAAAGGCCTATTGATTCATTTAGCTAGTTGAAATAATCAGCTAATTGGAATTGAATTATCATGATCAGCAATATCTTCTTTATTTGAAAATACAAGTGATGAAAGGTAAAATGATGCAAACACTTATCCTAAACCTATCATTTTATTTCAATATGAATAAATTGTACAATCTTTTCGAAGGGATGTACAGAAACTAAAAATATTTCGTTCTAGTGAGCGCGCCACTGCCTCCTGTTGGGTCCATCATCCTACCCCAGTTTGTGTGCCCCACCACGAACCCTATCTTCCTCATCTTCTCCTGTTCCCTCTGTTCCTCCAAATCGGCCCACCGAACCTAAAAAAATCCGAACTCATTCAAATCGCCCGTCGGAAAAAACACCAACAAAAACAATATCTAATAGTCTACTAAACTGTTACAGACCTCAAAAGATTTTTCATTGCATTTATATGAGTTTTTGTTACACATTTATCCAATGCGGTTCAAATTTGTTAAAAATGTTACCTCCTAAATCCAACAGACCATGCTATCCTGTCAACCGATTTCGATGTTGATGAAGTCAGCAGAGTTGGAATGAGTCATGAATTTTATGAGTAAAAAAGTCCGACTTGTTGGATTCAGACTTTCTTGAATTAATTCACTTTAAAAAACAAAATAATGCTAGATCCCTGACGATAATTGATATTTTTCCCGCCATCGCTAAATTGCTCGGTTGTGTAAGCACTAAAATGCATCAATACAGACTTTGATTTGTAATATTTCGAAACCAGACATCAAACTTCATGTCCATGGTATAAAACTCCATAATTTTGTTCACATTCTCAAGATTCAATATTATAAAATTTTTCGTTATCTCCCACATAAAAGCTCTGATTAAAATAATTTCGAAATGAATTCCAGAAAGGGCACAAAGGCATAAAGCTTTATGATACTTGTGGCAAAAAATCATAACGTTCTTATGAAATTTTTGTAATCTCATATGGCTCTGGGTCACTGAACTAACCTGGCTAACCAACTATTAAAACTAAATCGAAAATAGTAATGGGATCCATGAGTAATTCGATTTTGAATTCGGCCTATATTTTGGACCATGACGATCATTTTAATGATCAGTTTGAACTTGAGGTAATAATGCGATTTGCTCCCGTTGGTGAAAGTTTGAATCAAGTCATGACTTAGCCATTTGAATTTTCACGAATTGAATCACTGACTCAATTCCGAACTTAATTCATTTGAATCAATTCGTGTGAACCCTGGAAGTCAGTTGTCTATATTGCTCCTCCAACCTCGGCCAACACGTCGCCAAATCACAAATTATGGTTGAGGAATGCACATTTTTATCCGAGTTTTTATCACATAGAAGAATGTATCATTGCATTTCATGATTACCTAATATCGGCGACACCTAACCACTGCTATCCGAACAAACATTCAGTAAATATCCGTTGACAACTCGGCAACTGCGCTACTAGGAGGTACGAGCACAGATAAATTATTTTGTGTAGATCTAAGTCAGGTAATGTTAAATCTGTCTGATCCAATCGATAAACACATTTGAACCACTTTATGATATCAATTCAATGTGAGCTTTAGGAATTTCAAATGAAGTAAATCCCTGATATCAAGATATTCGTTGATATGGCAACGTTGCACAACGAATAGTTCTGTGACTTCAACCTGACATTTTGAGAACCGGCAACCGTGACGCGCGAAGTTTAAAGGGACGAGGTCATGAAAAACATGTGTCGGTACATCAAACAATAGGCAAAAGGGGCGGAGTGTCTCATCTGTAAGCGGCGTAGCCACACATTTCACACTGGATGTGACGGAATCTCCTTTGGTGTGAATTAATAACAATTTTGTCTCATACACTATACACTCAACAAATACCAGTGAAGAATAAAGCAACGAGAAATATTTATGAATGTTTATAGTCAAACAATTACTGTTATATTCCAATGTACTTTGACATCTGGCAACTATGTAATTCACTCACTGAGTCGTGACGTCAGTAGTTATTATGAGTGGCAAATTTGAGACATTAAAACCATTGAGAAATGTTTCTTAAAATAACAAAATTGGAAGCATAAGTGTGAAGATTGAGTATAAAAGATGAAACAATCAGTTCAATAGCCTATTCAGCAAGTATTAGAGGTTGTGTTAAAAAATCAATTACCCTCTTCTTCCCCGATTTGGTGGGTTGTATTGGTTGCCACTGGTCTTCCAGTTGGAGGAATTCTTCCATGGTTCTTGCTTTTCGAAGGGGTTTGCTGACTCCATCAAGCTTGGCTGTAACAGAAAAATATCCATCAAAATCTCTTCACAACTCATTCAAAAATAATATAATATAGACACATTTTAAAATATCGCGAATAAAACCGTTTTCACGATCGATGGAAACAATAATAACAATGTAAATACGTTGACACTCCGGAACTTTCAGTCACAGAAAGAGAAAAGAGGATAAAGAATGATCTTGCAGGGCTACGTCGATAAAATTTCATTCTCCATCGCCAAAATTGCATTTATCATTCTATTGATACAAACAACTTGGTCAGATTTGTCATTAGTCATTATGAAGATAATTTTCATTCTTGGAAGAAAATACCTACCGATTATATATTTTTCATATTCCAGTATTTCATTCTTTGAATACAATGAATGTGACTTTCACTTGACTTTTGGGTCTTGATACAATACAATAAAAATAAATACGAATCATCGCAACTCGTTACAGATTCGTCATCATTATTATTCGAAATGCTCTAGGTTCGATATGTGCTGTGCTAGTCATTTATAACGCCACTATTTGACCACAACTATGATAGATCATCTGAAATGTACAGGGTTCACGTATATTTCGACACTCCCTGTAATGATAGCAAAAAAAATTTACTGCAAAAGTTGTAGGGTTTTCTTCACCACTAGAATCAGTATGAAAAACATGAATGAACATCATAAATAGGAGAAAACCACTCACACTTTTAGTACCTAACATTATTTATTGAAGGACTTGATGAGGAATGTTCAGATATTTTTTCTGTGGATACCTATATAGCAGAACAGAAACTCTTTCATGTGACTCTTCTCTGTCACACTCATTGGTCATCACGAGAGAATGTCTCAAGTCATATCTTCACAGGTGTTTGAAATAGCTGCATCAAACCCATGTTAATAGAATTTGTACAAAAATCCCGAACCGAATTTGGGATTATATAAGGATGTTCTGCTCAAAGAAGCTGATGTGCTAAGATGTTAGTAGTTTTCTATTATTTATGACGTTTATTCATCTTATTTCATAATAGAACATGATGGAAAAATACCACTACAACTTTATTGGATGTTCAAGTTTTTTGCTGTACCTTACAGGGCGAAATATAATGGAATAAAAGTGACCACCATGTACCTTATCTTATACATCTCTGTGCAGTTGAAGTTGGAACATCTCTACAACATAATCCTTCCGAGCTGGTTCATTCGTTGGTAGTGTTGCAAAATTTGATGAAATTTATAGCCATGAAATCCCAAGTGAAATTTCACTCGAAATCATGAAAATGAACGATTTATATGAAATATTGTTTTTCTCGCCGAAGCAAATAACGATAGGTTAGTTTTTATGGTTTACATCACATACTTCATAACACTTGTTTGTCAATAAACCTGTACAGTAGATTTGAATGCGAAAAAGGTTTATTCCACGATGAACAATACTTTACTTAGTTCCATTCACCAATTGATGAATGATAACAAATCAAATTCACGTATATACAAAATAGAAGTACATTATTCATAAAATACGATAACTATATTATGACAGTAGAAATATAGCTGAATAATTATTTATTCAGCTATTGTATTCATTAGGGGCGATTTGATTAGTTTCACTACTACTAGTTGAACAATTGTTCAATAATAGCAGGTCTAGCGATAGTGTTTATTCCACTTTTGAAAACTGGTATTATTCTATCAAGAATGTAGACCATGGTGCATTTTTTTCTCAACCAAAATTATCTGAGGTTTGTTGGTATATTTCTTTCTCCTCAACTAATTCGAGAAGAACCAGAATAAAAAACAAAGATTGACAGATTTCCTATTTTTCAGCATTTTCTTCAGAAATGAACACCAGAGGCAATTCCTGCAAAATATCCCAAATGATACTGAAGCGTCAGCTAATCTTCATTCAAAAGGCTGAGAAGAAGAAAAGAAGCAACATCATTTCTAGACAAAAAGATATCTAGAAACTAGTTAGGGAAAGTTGATATTGTTCATCAAATATCATTTGCGCCATCAATTAATGATAATTTTATAATATGCACTAAAGGGTAATGCACATAATTCTCGATATTAGATGAATGTCAGTAAATAAGCTTCCATTGTCTGTATAGAGGCAGTAAAGTAGCACTGCCAAGACGATGAAAAAATCAGTTTCATTGCTTGGGCAGTAAAAGTGCTGCTTTACTACTTCTGCACAGGCAGTGAAACAACGAATTTTCCGACACATTGAATCTCATTCAACTACAAATTCGATTATATAATTTCATCTCAATGTGTTAGTAAATGCACCAAAATTGCCTTTCAACGCAATTTCAGAAATTTTTTCAAATTTCCACTTTGTTAGTTGAATCGCACACAATACTAGAAATATGCATCTATATTGGTATGAAATTCTTGACGGAAATTGAGCATATTTGGATGATATGAGTTGAATGACAGTTTGAAGTTGTATTGAAAAATAAGACTGTTTTCATTGATAACTTACCAAGGCTATTACTAGAACAGTCGAAAGTATCCCATTTGCTTCTTATTTGGTCCTGAGAGGAGAATTTTAGTACAACAGTTGAAAACACGAAATAAAGTAATCAAATTGCAATAAATCAACGAAATGTTCTGCTGCTGTGGAAAAATGTCATTAGTAAAATTTCTACAGATACTCCCCAGTTTTCAGCTCAGTCAAATGACCTGATGAAATTTTTTGGTACTGAATATTTGAATATAGCCATACTTTGCAGTATCAAGCAAAAGTAATATAGAGTTTTTCTGAAAAGCAAATCAGTTTGCTAAGGCACATACAAACCCAGAATATCCCAACCACACTTACAGAAAAAACGTTTTGGAGTCTAGAAGGAAACCTTTTTTTATCTCTTGGAGCGCACGGAACGAAATTTCTATGATGTTCTGCAATGAAGATATTATTTTCCACCAACAATAGAGGCAACTGGACCATTTGGAAGAATTTATTTAAAAGAAAATAACTCATGTTATTACTGTGTTGGCAAAGCTACTGTCAAATTCAGTGTCACTTGTCTGATGTTTTGTCTTATGCCAATGCCAATAATTATAGTTAGTTACAAAAACAAAGGGTCCAAGAAGTTATTTTAAGTCTAATAAAAACGAAAAATTGATTTTTGATGCCTGCTATTTTCATTCATGATATTCTTGGGTTCCCATTATAAAACTATTGAAATTTCAATTCCTGAAAATTGTGAAGATATTCTGTTATATGACATAATAAGCTGATAATGAAGTGGTATATTTTCTGGGGTTTATATGAACCTTGCTTGAACTAAATGTTGCCAAAATATGATTTCAAGATTATATCCATGCAAAAACAAAGATAATACTGTGAAGATTCAGGTCATCTGACCTAACCTGAACTATAATCCTCAGAACTGCTCAACCCTGTAACCTTCAAAAAACACATATTTACTCTATGGCATTTCTCTTACCCTCCCCTCAGCAGCTCCCTCTTCCGCTTCATCCTCCCCTGACTTTTTATTGTCAGACTGTTCTTCGACTTCCATTTCTACTTCGGATATACCGGAGGATTGCAAGAGACCGGAAGCATCTATAGTGGGATGATGGGAAGGAGTGGGTTCCCAACCGGAAATACATTCTTCTATTTCCGCCTCTGTTCTGTCGTGAATGTTACGTTTCGTGCACTGCACCGGATCCAAATCTAACTGGCAAATGTATACCTGAAATGATTTTTAAGATAAACAACTTCCACTCAAAAGTTTTTTAGTTCATTGAATTTGTGAAGCTTCGAGCCGAAGCTCTCTCCCAAGCCGTTATGAGAAAGCTGGCAACGCCGCATCAAAGTCACCTAAATGTTATGTAGAGTAACTCTCGGTTTAACCTCAACTTTTCTTTTATTTGAGGTATTCCATTGACCATTCTAGAACACGTGATTTTGTCACGGTTTCTTACGAGATCTGTTAGGTTACCATCGATGAGCATAGCCCTGCCCACATCCAGAATACAATAACAGATTGACCAAACAAAACCATGAATTTCATTTGGGTTCCAAGGAAAACGATCTTACTAATTCGGGTTCCATATGACAAAATACAATGTTTTCCCTCCAACGATCTGTCATGTGACGTAATTCTGACTGGAATCATTAATAACTAGAAATACTCTTGTAAATGTTATCCCACTTCGTTCGCAAAACATAACCTCAATCCAAACTCCATGTCTCCTACTCATGACCTCAGAAATCTGTCGCGTGAACGATGATCTCCCCTGGAGGTAAAATATTGGAACACAACCTCACTTTCCTGTGAAACATTGAAACACAACCTCACTTTTTTCATTTGATTACAGAGGAACCAAAGGATTGAAATAGTTATTGAAAATATTTGGCATACAAATCGTGTTTTTTGCGCTATTCATTCAGCGAGAGAAGAAGGAATATGATTTGTCAGGTAAATAGTAATCTCACATAGTTATCATTATGAAATTTTGTCATTTCTTATTAAAATTCCTTCTGCCACTTCTGTAATAGAAGTTGAAACTGCTAATAGATTGAAAACGTCTACAACACACACGATCATATTTCGTCAGCATGTCAAACCAGTCCTCCCGTTTCATCGCATGAATCCAATCTTCTTTTTCCAATCTATCTATTTTTATTAGCTCCTATTGCACAAGGAATTCCGATGAGAAATCAGAGAAATTACCAAATTTCAAAATGAAAACTATATGTGAGTGACTATGGTAGGTACTTACTTTTAAATCATAATGTACCGACTGGATTCTTTCGTCTCCCGTTCGATTTTTTGTGCATTGTACAACAGTACAATGTGATGGCATACGCAAATAAATGCATGGCCGAAAAACACGATTCGTATGACAAAGTAAGTGTGAAAAACTATTTCAATCACTTGTGAACAAATAAGAAAAGTGAGGTTGTGTTTCAATGTTTCACCTCCAGGGTCGGTAATCTGACAGTTCTTGCACGCAACCCATAGATCATGTCATACACTGTTCATTGGCTTTCAACAATATTTCACATGAGTAACACATCAATCCACTATTGAAAATAATTCACCATTCCCGATAAAAAATAACACATCGCCCCACCTGACCACAGCAACTTGAACATTTCTGAACGGTTTGTTTTGATTATATGACCAAGTAACACAAACAAAAAAGAAATGTGAACCAATGAAAACAAAGTAAACAGGCCGCTTCAACAGCTTTCAAGAACTCCGATAGATGACCTAATCTGACCTGATTGACATTATTGACAAGTCACTTCAGCAAGGCTAAGGAGTTTAAGAAGGCTTTGCTCTGGGCTTCCATTTAGAACAAGAGTTTGCTATTTGAACTCTTGACATTTTCAAGAATTTTACTATAGGTACAAATGAAAAAAGACATTCTTAAAATTCTGAAACAATAAAAATAGAAATGACTTACCTGAAATCCATTTTGTTTTGCGAAACTCCACATTTCCCCAAAATGTTTAACTTTATCGTTGACATTATCAACGATCACAAAAGGGAAATATCCATCAGTGATGGTTTTCTTGAAAGATTTCAAAAATGAAGCTCTGTATGAATCCTCCATTTCAGCTTCATACTCATATACCATTTCTTTGATGGTCTGCAATTTTCCATCCTCAATCACTTTCTTTTCATGTTCAACCATAAAATAGTCATCTAATGATAAAATTCTTGGTGTTGATCCACCATTTTCAACCTGAAAACATACATCAATTATGCTAAAGTGCCTTTGAGCTTCAGAATATCTAAAAATGCCAAAAGTCAGATATATTTTAGGACAATATTTTCAATGTTTATTGAAATTTATGAATTCAACATAAAAAGTGGAGTGAGTAAACCCTGTAATGGGATTTGATTCCTTAGAATATGTTTATATGAAATTATCTCTCTCAGTAAGTTTGAAACTTGCAGAAATGAACATACTAACCTCTTTATCTTTTATCAATCTTGCAAGGAATGTTTTTCCACTACCTGGTGGCCCTCTCAAAATGATCACGATTCTAGGAGGTCTATTATTTCTCCCAGGAGAATTGATGATATCTTCGATCATCGTTATTTCTGCTACGGTAGCCGTAGGATTAGGAGGATTGCTCAACAACTCAGGACTTTTACTTCTGCTGCGCCTACTATCCTGCTGTCGTTTATGCCTCTTTTGCTCCCCCTGCTCCCAATCCATATCCTCATCGGAAAGTTCCTCAAAATCGTGTTTATTCATTCGCGAGCCTTCACTTTTCCTATTATTCTCCTGGCTACCTCTACTGTGTCTGTCTCTCTCAAACCTCGATCCACCTCTGTCATCCATATCGTCCACTCGATCCCTTCTACTGTACTCATAATCTCTGTCTCTGTTGTTCCCTCTGTCTCTATCGTTTTCTCTATCTCTGTCATTTCCTCTGTCTCTGTCGTTTCCTCTGTCTCTGTCGTTTCCTCTGTCTCTGTCGTTTCCTCTGTCTCTGTCGTTTCCTCTGTCTCTCTCGTTTCCTCTGTCTCTCTCGTTTCCTCTGTCTCTCTCGTTTCCTCTGTCTCTTCCCTCAATGGATCGACCCCTATTGTAACGTTCACTACCCCTAGGTCCCAACTCCTGGTACTCTCTATCAAACTCCCTGTCTCTCGGACCCAAGTCTCTATCTCTCAGAGCCAAATCTCTGTCTCTTGAAGCTAAATCCCTATCTCTTGGAGCTAAATCCCTATCTCTGAGAGCGAAATCTCTGTCTCTGGGTAAGAAATCTCTGTCTCTGGGTAGGAAATCACGGTCTCTAGGTCCGAAATCGTCTCGCATTACTCTGGGGGGAGGTGCGAATCTGTCGACAGTGTGCACTGCAGCGGGTTTCTCGTATCTGGGTGGTAAGAAGTCGAATTCCCGGATGAATTTGACTTCTTCGACTAGCCATTTCGGTCTCTCCATCAGGAGGATGCGGTTCAAGGGTTTGTGTTGGTAGTCGAACATGTTGGAAGGTTCTACGGCCACATCAGGTTCAGCTGTAAAAGTAAGGCATATTGAGAACAATATGCATATGCTCGGTTTCAGAATCAGATTCGATATTTCAGTTGGGAAGGGTCAGAAATTTATTTTGTGCAACTTGTTGACAGCAGTTACTATCAATTATCGAATGCGTTGTCTCTTGTCAATGTCAATTGTAATTAGTTTAAAAAATTAAGGTTCCAAGAAGTTGTTCTTGTTCTCATTTTCAATAAATAAACAGTTTTCGATCTGATAAAAATACAATAATTTCAACGTCGATTTCATCCACGTGTGGCATATGACACGTCTCTGTAGTCAACCTCAAAATACAAAATGGCGAACCCTTGAAAATGTGGTCAAGGTATAAACGTATGTGAAATGTTTTGAGATTGAGACATATCTCTTTCATTCAAAAATTACTAGACGGCACAGTTTTATGGACAACTGGACAATAGATATCCTTCATGTTTAGTCCGTTTTCGAAGTACGAACAAAGAAACTAAGGATTTAAAAGTCACTAAAAAGTGATTCCTGTGTTTTCTTTGGCCTACTGAATAATTTTCACATTTCAGGAGAGGCTAAATCAAAAAACACATTCCATTCTCATTGGTCACGACAGATCATCACATGACGCATCGAGGTTTTAATCACTGACATAATTACTATCTAGACCGCTAATGCCAAAAAAAAGAAGCTTTGTCACTCACGAGATCGAACTGGAGAACATGAATCATGCGCATTTGAGACCTGTCATATATCCTAACCAAGAAAAATGACTCGCTGTCATGAACGACAGTTTGGGGGTCTTGCGCATTGAGCTGAAGCGTTTTCAAGCGAGCAATTTTCGGATTGCTGAGATATGTCATATAGAGGTCTAGATAGTAGTTATGCCAGTTGTTTTAATGCAAAAATACTATGCATACTGAGCTTGGTTATTGGGAGTTTTCCTTAGATAACATGGCATCAGCAATTAGATGCAAAAAATGAATAAGGGTTGAGGTTATGTTGTACTTGAATAATTATCTGCTTATTCCAAACATTATCGAGAAACACGAGCCAAAACGAAATCTTGATAACCATTACCAATGAAGTTCCATAAACAAATGTTGTTACTGCGAATAATTAAACAATGATTGACAGCTGGCATGACCTCCGACCTCACCAGTGCCATATGTTATGAGCTTTCCAAATTATCAGCCAATGCACAGTAAGAACTCAGCTATGCCATCTTTTATCGAGTTTTCTTTCAGGCAGATCGTTCCATGTGGTGGTGAACCGAGTATGGTATCAGACGTACCATTGCTACTTGCCTTGCAGACGATAGTACTCTCCATAATGCGTTCTCTTCTAGAATTAACATTTCTTCCCAGGAAACTAAACACTTACGACGAAGGCAGGCCAACGCTGTCAATGAAACTCTTGCTGAAATTATAGCCTAGATCTAGTTTAATGTAACGCTACCAAAATTCAAGGCTTTATTTTCTCTAGAAAGGCTTCACCTCAACAGCTTCTCATGATTTACAGAGCACAGATACGGCCAGTTTTAGAATACTGTTCTCATGTATGGGGTTCAGCTCCCAAGCATACGCTGGTGCTCTTAGATTCCATACAGAGAAGAGCCGATCGCCTGGTGCGTGATGTCACACTCACTAACTCTTTGACCTCATTAGAACACCGTAGAAAAGTAGGCGACCTTTCACTTTTCTAAACGAACACGACAGGCCCACTCAGAACATCATCTCGTCGTTAACCTTGAAATATGCCGAACAACACTCTACCAAAACTCGTTCGTCTATAGGCCGACGGAGCTTTGAAATTATTTGCCAATGGATGTATTCCCAAGAACTTTTAACCTCCAAAAATTCAAAACAAATTCCAACACCTACCTCCTCTCCCTATCCTCCCTAGGTACGCATGATATTCCACGAACATTATAGGAATATACTTTCGTGCACTCCGAGATAAAAAAGAAATTGATAGAGTAGTAACAATTTTTGAAAAAGGGACGACTGGCACTTACGTGGTATCAGCGACTTGTGCTCATACTCAATCAGTTGGGCCGGCTCGAATAGTATGTCATCTTCCATAGGCGGCAGTTCCTCTTCAATTGGCGGTGGCTGCTCAACGATCGGTGGCAGCTGACCGCGAATATGTGGTGGAGCCGGAGCGATCCGATCCATCAATGAAGGAATATTCGGTTTGATTTGGGGAGGCGGAGGTCCACGCATATCCTCCTCATGATATCTATCTTCCTCCTCATAGCGATCATCCTGGTATTGGTCTTCATCCTCATTGAACCTTCTGTGATAATCGTCGTAGTCGTTTTCATCTTCATTATAGTCGTCGTCATAATTGCCAGGACCACCGAAACGACTATCTCTGTTATTTCCGAAATTGTCTCTGTTGAAATGGTTATCTTTTCTACCGAAATTGTCCCCACCACCCATATTGAAGTTACCTCTCCCTTTATCGAAATTATTCCCACCCCCGAATCTATCATTTCTGAAGTTATCACCCTGGAACTTGTTATCTTTCCCGTAATTATCCTCGAATCCATCATTGTAATTATCTCTTCCGAAAGCTCTGCCAGGAGCGTTTCTCGGGCCACCAGGTCCAAAGTTATTTCTGTTTTCATGTGGTGGGCCACCATAGTTATCTGGAGCATTCCTAGGACCACCCATTCCAAAGTTCCTATTCTCCTGTGGAGGCGCTCCTCCATAATTGTCCATCCTTGGTCCTCCAGGACCGAAATTATTCCTGTTATCTTGAGGAGGAGGTCCCCCGAATCTGTCTTGGGGCCCACCAAATTTCTCCTGAGCATTGCCAAAACGGTCTGAAGGACCGCCCAACATATCCTGTCTACCTGGAGGAGGTCCACTCATCATATCTTGTCTACCTGGAGGAGGTCCACCCATCATATCCTGTCTACCTGGAGGTCCACCCATCATATCCTGTCTACCTGGAGGAGGCCCGCCCATCATATCCTGTCTACCTGGAGGAGGACCTCTATTCCTATAGCCCTGATCATCATTCGGCCCCATGGTGAAGCTACTTCTAGTTTGATCATCGAAGTTGTTCACCTGCTCCCGCTGTTGATAAAAGTCTTCCTGATTGGATCTATCGTCATAGCTCTGGTTGGAGTATTCATTATTTGCCAGGTTGCTTTGATTGTAGCCACGATCCTGGGGAGGAGGTTGTTGAGGTTTGAAACCTTGAAGTTGCTGAGTAGGAGGAGGTCCATTGAATCTCGGTCCCTGACTGTAACCTGGCAGAAGACCTGCGGAAGTTTTAGAGGGAGGAGCATTCTGAGACACCATCGATAACATGCTTAGCAGTTTCTGGTCTCCTAGAATCGAGTTAATTCCTTTGGAAATCGCGTCCAAGTCTGGCCCTTTGTTCGGCGCCTGAGATTCTTGCTCTTGGCGGTGTTGTTCCTTATCCAACTCAATAACATCAGTTTCTGGTTCGTCTTCTACTTTATCGTCATCTTGCACCAAATCCAGTCCAGGTATTCCACCACCAGAAGATGCAGTAGATTTCAAGAAACTGTCTCCATCATTCTCAATCTCTTCGGCCACTGGATAAGATTGCGGTTTATTGAAACTAAGAGGTTCATTGTTCTGATTCGGTGGAGGTTTGTTGAAGAAATTGTCGGAGTCTTTGACTGCCGCAGAAGCCCCAAACTGATTATTCCCTGCGAACTGAGGTCCAGGCCCGAGCAAACTTGGTTTCGCGCCAAGAGGTGGTCTTTGGGTAGTAAAGGGCTGCGAGGGAGACTGAAAGCTCGTTGGCTGGGCCGAGGGTGCCGGCTGACTAGTAGGTGGTTGTTGCACGGGTGGGGGTTTCGAGAACGACTGGGGTTTGCTAGTTTCCGTGGCTGTGCTTGCTTGACCGCTCATCGCTACCCTCTTCCGCCTCATTTGCTCACGCCTCTCGAGCAACGAATTCCTCCAAGACTCCCATTTCTTCTCGTACTCTCGATACTGAGTCTTATCAGGATGATTAACGTTCTGATCCTTCCACTTGTTGAACTGGGCCTCCCAGGCAGCAAACTCCTTGTCAAATTTCTTCTCAGCTTCAGACAGCTCTTCTACTGCAGGCTTGGCAGCCGCAGCTTGCGGAGGGGGCTGATTATATTGTTGAGTACCACCCTGCCACTGGGTAGCTCCTTCTCTTTCTATCGAAGGTTTCTTAGCTCCCTCATAGGCGCTATCTCGAGGTCCTGGTCTCTTCTGAGCGTTGCCCCAGTTTTGCCTACCATAAGGATCTCCAGCCTGATTAGGGGGAGGTTGATTATGGAGTGGTTGCTGCGCCATAAGCGATGGTGGGGCAGTGTTATAGCCCGTTTGGGCAGGCTTAGGGGGACCGGTGGTGTATGAGGGAATATTGGGTTGATTTGCAGGTGGTTCTTCTGGCGGTAGAGGTGGTTTATTGTCGACAGGCAAGGGAGGAGCCATGGTCATTGAGAGACTCGGTAATGGAGGCTGGCCTGTTGGTAGTCCAGGTTGCATTATTGCTGGAGGAGCACCTTGCATAGCGCTCATCGACTTTTGATACTGAAAATTATTAAATGAGTCGTCTAGTTTCAAAACCCTCTAAAACGTTTTTTTTTTTAACATTGAGGTAATTATGTCTTCTGATAGCCAATGAAATCACAATCGCGATAACTATTCAATCCCGAGCAAATCCCTATGTAAAAGTACTTAATAAGGCCTTCAAATCTATGGTTATTAGGAAAATCCGCTAAAATGATGTATGTTGAATTCAATGCCCTCTATAACATAATCGACCAATTATAGCGCTCGAGTAGTACTACGCGACGATACAGTTTAGTAGGGCGACTTTTAATAATGTGTGTGAGTCCGGTCAGTTTTCATTTTTTTTTTTTTAATTATAAAATGAAGGAATTTTTTCAGCAAGTTGAGAAATCTGATGTGATAGTAGTTTATTGTAGAAAGTATTGGCACTATATTTTCTATTTTCTGTTTCCCCCTCCTCCAACGATAATTTTGATACCTTACACGAATGCGTTAGTTGATAATCGAACCATAATCAGTTTTTTTAAAACAAAGAAACGTTTTAGCGGGTTTTGGAACTAGACGACTCAAATATGATGATAACAAAGTTACAACAAAATAATGACACAATACCTCTGCGCCATACTGCTGATGCCATTGTTGATATTGTTGCTGCCACTGAGCCCACTGTTGCCAGTTCTGTTGTTGCGCCTGCGCCCACTGTTCCTGATTGTACTGCAGATTGGGCGGCAAGACAGTGGGAGCGGAGTTTATTGCTGTTGGGAGCAAAGTGGAGGCGATGGGGGGTCCTGCTACTACCGAAGGTATAGGGGGGCCAGCAGCAGTTGTCCAAGTTGGCCAAGACATCCCTAAAATATCAATTTTTGAATATTGTTGCTTTACAAGCTGAGATGGTACTTACTTGGACGAACTGCTTAAACTGTCAGTTGAAATGTCTTCTGATTTTCTTTTTTACCTGTTTTTTATCTGACTGAAATATGGAATTGGTTGTATTATGATATCAAGAATATATGACAAATATAAGAAAAATGAAACTGACTGAATTCCAGTGATGAAATAAAGCAGGTACCAATATGGCTTCTAGCACGAATTACTTATAGCAAAACTTTAAATCAGCACTAAATCCAGCGAGTCCGTAAAGTTGAAAAAGGAACATAATATTTACGACATTTGTAGTAAGAACCATTCCAAAAATATACAGGGTGACCCACAAGAGTTGAAATAAGTTCGGCATATTTTTCGAATGGGACATCCAGTATATTAGTGTATATTTATTTGGCTAAAACAGGTAACCATGATCCCTTTTCGAATATGGAATATAATAAACTGGGGATCTATATTTTAGGTTTGGTTCATAAATTGTACCTTGAAAAGTGAAATAGTTTTTGCAAGCCCTTCTAGTATCAGGGATATCAAAAATCTATTTCGAAATTGATATTTTCAGATATAGGTATGGGTTTTTTTATCGTTTTTTTCTAATAACAATATAATGGGATGTAGGGGTCGGTGAATTATTTTTTGAAGGTTAATAAGAGACATTGACAACATATTCTCAATACTTATTTTAGTAGAACATAGAGTTCAACAATTTGTTAGGAATTTTCAATGAATATCGAGCGAATTTTTTCAACATTTCAAAATGTTCCTTCACCAAATATTCAAATGTTCGTTTTTCCGTCGAATAACTTTACGATGCTTTTTTATATCTATAGAAGGAGAGCCGAATGCAGATTTCTACCGTCATCTGATAACGAAATGATAAATGTCCCAAAGGAATGAAAAACATTGTAGTTCGAACGGCACCTGTACCAATCACTATCCTGAGCAAAATGATTGAAAATTGCACTTTCCTGTGCGGAAATTTACACTCGATTTCGCGATTTGATAACGCCAAATCAACGGCACAGCGATTTTTTTGCTCCTATTATTCCGGACATACAGTGTGTCCACTTCTAATAGAAACACCCCTGTATCTTTCGTAATTGTTTAGTTAGGATTCTGAAATTTGCAGGAGCAGAAGATATAATAAAAATACACACTATAACCAAGTGGTGACATCCTCAGTTATATACACTGCTCACCAACAGCCATGGAACCACCCACATTTTCGTAAAATGATATTAGGAGACAAGATAGGTTAAAAATCCCTTTGGATTCGAAATCAGGACGTCCAATTAACTGACTATTCATATTTATCCTGAAAAAATGTTCAGTTCTGAAAAATCAAATTTTGTCTCAGTTTCCATGGAAGAACTCCCGTATCTCATGTAATTATTGAGGTAGGGATCTGAAATTTGCATTGCATTAAAAGTGAGGCAAAATATGATTTCCCATAATTGAAGTGTTCAGGAAAAATATTTAAAACTACTGAACTGGACGTCCGGATTACGAGTCCGAAGTGATTTTCCAGTTACCTTGCCTCCTTATATCATTTTTCGGAAATGTGGGTGGTTCCATGGCTGTTGGCGAGCAGTGTATTCCACTAAAGATGACTCCACTGGGTTATAGTGTATATTCCTCTCGCTCCTGCAAATTTCAGAATCCCAACTCAACAATTATCAAAGATGCAGGGGTGTTTCCATTAGAAGTGAAACACACTGTATATCCGTCATGTGATGACGAGTTGAAGCAAAAAGCAAATGAATGGGAAAAATGTCCCTTTTGCGAATATACAAACGAGCCGCGATTCAAACTGATCAAAGTTAGAGGCAGAGCGTCAATATTTCCATGAATATTTCGCCCTCGTCAAAAGATAATATCCGATGGGACAGTGTGAAACTCATGTTGAGTTTTACATTGGTCCATCGGATATTATCTTTAGAGGTGGGCGAAATATTTTGGGAAGTAATGACTCTCTGCCATCAGTTTGAATCGCGGCACGTTTGATTATTTGCGAAAGCGACATCATCCCCTTTTATTTGCTTCTTGTTTCAACGCGTTATTACATTACGGAAGTATGTCCGGAATAACATAACAGCAGCAAATAATCTGCTGAGCCGTAGATTTGGCTCAGACAGATCTCGTTATCAAATCACGAAATCGAGTGCAAATTTACGCACAAGAAGGTGACATTTTTCAATCATTTTGCTCAAGATAGTGATTGGCACAAGTGCAAGGTTTATTCAGATTCAGATCACAAAAAAACAACTAATAGTAACACATGTGCTGAATAAACGTGGTGGAAACCACAGAAGCATCAAATGTTGCTTGTGTGTGGTGAAAAAAAATTAAAATGAAAATAACATATGATATCGAGTTAGCATTAGTATAGGTATAGCAATAAATTATGATAAAAGGATTCGCATGTGAATAAACTACTTAATATATAAAATTAAAATCAAACAATGATAATATAAAATAAGAGATAGATACGGCAGTGTCTTACACCAATAACTCGTATAAGTAGTTACATCCAGGGAGGCGGAAGATTTCAAAACGTCGAATTAAATTGAAACTTCGCACCCCTGGCCTATCAAGAATCGATGACCATAGATCTAAATCAATGCGATGACAATAGTATCACGAGTAGAACATACGGTAGGTATATTAGAAATTTCGAACCATGAGGGTTTTATAAACATAAAGTTAATCAAATCATCCGTTGACATTGAATTATAAAAACGCGAATCTGATAAATTGATGTATATATATTGGATGTGAGGGTTCCGAAGTTAGTCTGATCTGGGGCTACTCTTGACTTGACAAGAGCTCGTCGTGATGGTCGTTATAATGTAAGTTGTTATTAGGTCTTTATATTCATTGTTGTTTATTCATATTTGTCATTGCTACCCATAATGTTGCATGCTTCAATACATATTGTTATCTTTGAACATAGTCTCGTACTTTCAGTTACCCCTATTCGAATATTACCTCTCGCAAACTATTAAGCCAAGCAAACCCCTTATAAATCGATATGGGTGGATAACCATCTATTAGGTAAACGTATCGAATCGTTGGCGTGTCTCGCGAATTTTCAGAAATATCATTCACCCGCTAGCGAATTCATTCCAGTTAGTCTCCACACTATACAAGGGTGTCTCAAAATTAGCCAAACTTCCCCAGTGGCTTCTACGACCAAAAATAGGAAGAAAAGTTTCATTGAACATGAAGATGATATTTCTTGAATATTTCCGAAACGCCACATGATGCAATTCGGTACAAGATCTAAAGTTTTCATGCCCAATGCAGTGTATCATTCCAAAATTTCATTCGGGAGTGTATGATACAGGGTGAGTACTTAAATATTGCTCTAACTTTATTTTATGCATATTTTTCGACAATTTTATATCGGATTATGAACATTTATACCTCTTTACAGAAAAGAGGTGCTCTTGTTCTATATCGATTAGATGTATTATTTTCGAGTAAATTCGATCTCACATATTATCCAGAACACTGCAATAAATCGTAGTGGATATAGAAAAAAAAAATGCACAAAAATTGAAGTAGTTTTTTATCATTATTTTCCTATTTTACGCGCCTCTATGACATTGTTTCGTGAAAAAAAAGTAGTCAATTTTTTTATAGCCACTATGATTTGAAAATTGGCAATGTTATTCATAAAATGTCAGATGTAACAATATTTTTAAATTGATTTTTCAATGATACATCTGATCGATATGGAACCGATATGGAACCCAAGATTAAATTGTCGAAATATATACAGGGTGGGCCACCAGTAACGCCTCGGTCTCTAGAAGGCTATCCACTTATCTTCTTGGAATTCTTCCTCTCTAGGAAGTTGCATGTCAACCTAGGCTACCATTTAAAATTATTTCGAAACATACAGGGTGTCCCCAAAAACCATAAAACACTGAAGTTGAACTTTTTTCTATCAAACACCCTATATATTATTTCATTTTGAGATTCTCTCTGATGAGCTGATTTCAACGACCCATCATACTTGGGGTCTAACAGTTATAATTACTGAAATATAGGGTGTGAAAAATCGAGATTTTCCAAGTTCAAGAATTTTTTGTATCGAAACTATTCATAATTGGTCAAAACGGCTTACATGTCCCTATCTCAACTTTTGATTAACTATCTACTGATATTTAATTGGGACATATACCGGGTGATCAAGATTCTGAATTCTGCACCACCCTGTATTTGTTTCAAATAAATGTCAGTAGATAGTTGATCAAAATTTGAGATAGGGACATGTGAGCCGTTTTGACCAATTATGAATGGTTAAGACACACAAAAATCTTGAACTTGGAAAATCTCGATTTCTCACACCCTATATCTCAGTTATTATAACTGCTAGACCCCGAGTATGATGGATTGTTGAAATCAGCTCACCAGGGAGAATCTCAAAATGAAATAATATATAGGGTGTTCGATTGAACAAAGTTCAACTTCAGTGTTTTGTGATTTTTGGGGACATCCTGTATGTTTCAAAATAATTTCAAATGGTAGCCTATGTTGACATGCAACTTCCTAGAGAGGAAGAATTCCAAGAAGATAAGTGGTTAGCCTTCTAGAGACCGAGGCGTTACTGGTGGCCCACCATGTATATATATATAAAATTTTTAGCAATATTTGATGTAGTCCCACCCTGTATTATACACACCTGAATGAAATTTTGGAATGATTTTATTTTCACTGCATTGGGCATGTAAAGTTCAGTACAACCACCAAATTACATGATTTGATCATACGGCGTTTCGGAAATATTCAAGAAATATCATCTTCAGGAGTCCCCTTTCAGGGAGCCGGAGTCCCCTTTCAGGGAGCCGTAGCTCCCTTAGGAGACATTTTTTGACTATTCATGGGAACTTTCCTTCCTATTTTTGGTCATAGATGCCGCTGGTGAAGTTTGGCAGGCTAATTTCGGGACATCCTGTAATTCATTATCAAGTTCGAAATAATAACCAGTTTATTGCTATGACATAATTACAGGCTGACTGACAAAAAACGCCTCAAGCTATAGCGTCACTATCAATTATCTGATTTCGAAAAACAAAAAACAAATGAAATATTACAAATCAGATAATATCTATAGGCTCTCATCATTATTATTTCAAATTTCAACTGTAACGTCAGCGAGTGCCACCTTTTTTAGGCACCATAATATGTTTTTCTATTTTTTTTTTCTGAATTTAATGATGTATGCCAAGTTGATTTTTGGTCAAAATCAGTTAAGAAATAGATATTTTTATAAAATTTAGAAATGTATCATTGAACGTGGCAGTAAATGTCACAGAAATGAATGTCAGTGTTTCATTTGTCAGATATTTCAACACCGCATGTGACATTTCAGTGGCATTTAATGATACATTTCAAAATTTTATGACAATATCTATCTTGTCAACTACATGAGCATTTATTTTTCATTTCAACCAATTTTGTCCAAAAGTCAACTTATCATAAATCACTGTATTCAGAAAAAGAATATCGATCAGAATGAATTTAAAAAAACATATGGTGCTGTTTGAAAAAAAAAATGACAGTTGATATTCTAAAACATAATGACCGAAGCCTACTCATACTATCTAATGAGTCATTTCATTAATTTTTTGTTTTTAAAAATCGGATAATCGATAGCTACGCTGTTTAGTTGCATTTTTATTTTAGTAATTTCTTTGTGTAATGACGCAAACAACGTACTGGTCCAGAGTAGTACTAAGTGGCAGCTGCAGTGATTGCAAGCTTATTCCATGTTTATGAACCTCCAGCTTGACGTTTATTTCTCAATTCGTAAATGAAACACAATAATTTCCGTATTTTTGTGTGTATTTGTGGAAAAGTATTTGACAATCCCGTGTAGTATTTCATAAACGGTTAATCCATGTGATCATTGAGATTTTTTTTCATAAAAAATTACCCCTACAAGAAATTCAGTAAATACTGATTTTCCCCATCATCTTCCGAAAACCCATTATCATAACGTACGTGAAAATTAACAATGTATTCAGCGTTAGCCCGCTGAACCGAAATAGCAAAAGGATCAGTCGGATGGAAAGTAAAAGCCACCAGACGCCTAACGGTAGGCAACGAAGTCCGAATCACTCCCGCACAAATCCTGAACTTCAAAAAACCCGAATCCCTCGCATAAAACCTAATAGGGTGTTCCCCGCAAGCTTTCGGCCTCTCCATCACAGACACCCACTTCTCGTCGTAACTGAATAGAGACAAATCCAAATAGGGGGAGCAGCTGTAAGACTGCGCGCTTATTGGCAACTGCGCCAACAGTCTCTTGGTAGCCTCAGTCCTACCCCCGAATTTGGCATTGATAATGGTTTGCTTGAACCGCTTTTGCAGCAACCTAGCATAGAGGTTATTCGAAGGGCTGCAGGTGAATTGCGTTTCGTTGTGGATGCTAGCGTTCCTAAACAAATCGCAGAAGTTCTCGAACAGGTCCAACAGTTCTCTAGAAGTGTTTTCGTATACAGCAATGACGTTGCTGGTTTTGATGAGATAAACCACAAAGAACTGCGGTTGGCTATTCACGTCGGTAGACTTGAGGGTCACCACATCCTCGCTGGCGTATTTTATCAACAATGTGTCTTCGTCAATCAGCTGCATCTTCCACATCTTCAAGGAATTGAAGTTCTCGAAGTAATGATAAAATTTCCTCAACTCCGTAGGATTTTTATTGGTCGCACTCAACTTATCAGCTCTCTTATACAAAAAAGTGAGCAATCTGTGTTTCAAAGAGTTGATACTAGTTTCTCTGAAGGCCCTTTCCGTCGGGTATACGGAGTTATAGAGATAGGAATCATCCTCAAAGCAAAACCTTCCTATTTTCTTCACGTCAACGAACATACCATCCAGAATTTGAAACAGATGTATCACCTGGTGTTGCACCGATAAAACAGCCAATGTATCTTTGTACAAATACAGCCCCTGATTATGCGACAGGAATATCTTGTCCACCTTGAACGGCCTGGTGTCACAAAGCTTCCCCAAATGCAAGTCCACCAAGTGCAAGGTATAATCTTCCAAAGGAGACTGCAAATTAGGCGTGACAGACTCGTTATTCGTGTAGATCTCGTAAAAGTGCGGCCTGATTTCCTCAGGAATGAAGGAAGCAGATCCTATGATGACGTATCTACCGTCGTCGCTGAAAAGGCTGCACTCTCTGTTCAACTGTTCCGCCCCTTTGGCCACATTCACCCTGTGCTTCAAAGAGAAAAACCTATCGAACATTTTGCTTTTGATGTCGAAACGGTCGGTTTGGCCTTCTGATTTTCTCAGCAAATCTGCCGCAGAAGCAGGTCCGCGATAGACATAGATCTCCAAGGAAGTCTGGTCTGCTGAGAACGCTATGAAGTGTTTGCCGTCCGGGCTGAATTTCCTCAAGAAACATGGTGGTTTTTCCACGTTGATGACGGTGAAATTGGGAAAGACGTTTTGGTAGAACTGCCTGGCTCGGTGGAAATGAGTTCCTGGTTTTTTGTACGAATAAATCTGCCTGTTGTTCAAACGGATCACGATGTTTTGCGGGGATCGTTTTTTGCGTTTACAGAAATTATCCATGATTACTTGTTTATCATCAGTGGTGCGGCCAGATAATCCCTCAGATTATCAACATTTTTATCTGCAATAAAATAGTTCTAATGAACTTCTCAAAACACAGATTGCTATCACTTTTCCAGTCATCAAATCAACCAAATTATAAAAAATAACATCTATAAAATATGTTTTCTTTCACTATGAAAAAACACTTGCATTCTCAAAAGCATTTCGAAAATAACGGTTTCATCACGTGATTCCAATCCGGCTTACATTATTAAAATAGTATTTTTACGCATGATCATGTAATGATAGCGATTAATACACGAGAGCCGTAAACCGTGTGCGAGTGTAATAATAGCCATTACATGATTGTTGCATTCACTATTTTTTCTACGACCAATAAATGATGAAATAAAAAACTCGTTTCTTACTATTTATATTTCAACCAAGGTGGATAGAATATGGTGTAATCACAGACAAGGTTTTGTCTCTCCCAAAACGTTTGACAGCAGATTCCGCAATAATGGCATAATAGTTCTCAGTTGTCCGCAAGATGGCGACACTTTTTACAGATTTCTTTCATGACAGAAAACAGAAAACGGCGCTTACACAACGATTGCACCAGAAATAATATTATCATAATATTCATAACATAACCTCAAATCAAATGGGATTAAATTTGAAAGTACAAAACTGTAATTTTGGGGAATTTTGATTATCATCAGGTCTACCAACCTTGAATTTTGGTTGAGATTTCGCTATCTAACGGGTACAATTCGACCTACATTTCGCGATATTGAAAAGAATCCTTCTGTCAAGTGGGCCGTAGGTCAAGAACTTTAACCGAAAAACAGTAGATGGGATTTGATAGGAATTTCTACACCATCTTCTGTTCATCCTGATTTCAACATATCCCAACATCATCAGTCCATAAATTGCATGGACTATTGACGCGTTGTCACTGAATGTCATTTGAAATTAAATGTCAAACAACTCAAGCAAGTGAGAAAGAAACGTAGACCCGCTTGTTTATTCCAGATTACGTGTTTATAGTAAATTCGTATCATAATGAAAAAAAGAGTGTCTATATTGGTCGAAATATGTATCATAATGACTATTTCATTCATCACATAATCTGACCAATCACAAGCCAGAGAAAATTCAACTGGTCAGTGCTGTCAGTAAAAGTCCACTGACTCCGCTGAACACATTGCATAAGTGTCAGATTGGTTACTGGGGCATATGTTGTAGAAAAAATGTTGTACACAACTCGCTCGTATATTATATGCTACTTTCCACGCTCCTCAAGTATATAATGTACTATTTATTTTTTCAAGAAATGTATGTCGAGAATGGTTATAGTAACACAGTTGAATATGGAAAAAGTTGCAGGAACTGAAGATCAATTTCATGAAAGTATACACATTTCCATATCCAAGAAATTTCCGAGGAAATTTCAATATATTTCGACGCACAGTAAAACTTCCATGAGAAAGCATATAAAAAAGGTTTTCATCGTTTGGTCATAGATCATAAGTCTGATATTAACACCAAATTGAATTCAAATCAACGAATCGATTGACATAAATATCTCCAAATGTCGTATTTTGGATTAAATTCAACCTAGATTCAAGGTCTCTGATACTTGGAATAAGTTCGCGATAGCAGCAGAGATGCACAATATCTTATATGCACTAGCAGGCGGTAAAGTGCACTTTACCGCTCGCGGGCCCATTATCATCACACATCCATTTGTGGAATACCTATATGTGAACTCTCAGCTGATTCTATCCTTATGATTATGATACATGTTATTGTACATCCGATTCCATCTTCGCTATAACTTCCTTCTTTGAATAGTTGCTTTCTGGCTGTATGAAGTATTTAGCCAAAAGATGATAAATTTCAGCTTGTTTTTTGGATGTATTGCTAGACAGCAACCAATCAACCATCAGATTGATTGACAACGTCAAATTTAGGTTGCTATATACTGGGTATACATATTGTTACATCTCTGTTAGTGAACAAAGAAATCTACTCTCACGATAATTGCGATATTCATACGGTAATTTTAATATGTAGATTATACACATAGACATTGCGCTTCTCTTGAAAACCGAATTTATGAATAACATATGAATTGTAGTCTGTTGAAATCTAGTCATTACTTGTGACTCGGGAAATAAACCACTAGTGCATGAAATTTTGTATGTCTCACGTGCGTAAAATGCGTTTATAGCCTTCGGCGTGTGATGCATAATTCACGCCGCAGGCCATAAACGCCTACTTTACGCCCTTGATACATAAATAACTATTATATATCAAGTCAACAAATTCGCTTCACTAATATTGATGGAATTTTTTAGTAATTGGGGTTTTTCAAAATATCACCATCATGTTAATTTCGATTTACTCCACAAGGCGGAGTTTCACCTAATGACTATTTATGTTAATATAGCATATTATATGGTGCTAGTTTTGTACTTAGAACATTTATAAATAATTGAAAAAGTATTACTTGTTTCAGCTTCAACCAAATCCAAGAAAATAATAAAAAATTATTAAAGTACACATTTTGATCCTAACCTCATTATGGTTATAAATTTGGACTTCAACAACAGTCCTGCTGCAACGATTCAACTATTGTCAATGTCCAATTCACAACCGTGATGTATGTTTACTCAATAATGTTTTATTAATTTCATTTCTCTGAATCAGTTGGCTCAATATTTACACTACACCCGGCACTACTGCATCATCACAGTGTAGTGTGAAAGTATAATAAATGCTATTAAACACAATCACCGAAAGAATACTAGCAGTAGTTGACCATAATAGTCGAGTAGAAGAGTATACTTCATCTACGATTATTAGTAAGTACCAACAAACATTCTGAAGAACATAAATAATGCCGTATATATTCATTTCCGACTATGTATTTTTTCACTTATTTGAATTTGAATTATAGGATGAATAATTACTGAAGTCAATGATGTATGGTTGGAGCATATACCGGGTGTCAACGAATCTATTAGACAAGTCATAACTTCTAGACCATTAGGTGTATCAAAATGAGATTTGGTATTGGTGAATGGTATGTGAAGAGGAGAGTTTCCACATATTTTTCACTTTCCGGTCACTTCCGGTTTCACCGGAAATGGCTCCGGTTCTAAATTTTTTAATGGAACACCCTGTATATTAGTGTATATTGTAACATTTTTGGATTTCTGAGACAATTCTAGATCAGAATGTGACATTTTCGAAAGTTTTTATGCCTACTTAATTTTTTCGGAGTCACTTTTGAAATTACATCTAGGTGGCCATGATCGGAAGTAAACTAATCTAAGGACCACAGGTGATATCAGAAAATTACAATCGCGAAGTTTTAGTGACAAGTATGATAGATATGAATAAGACAAGTTGGCAAAATTACATTTTCGTGTCTAACTATTATTTTTCAAATGGCGACCATTTTTTGACAAGCACTTTCCGAAAAAAGGATATTTTGACGAATCTAACGATACTAATTTATTTGCGATTGGATTACAAATAAGAACATGAATTAAATATTACTGACGAAAATACTTCATAATAATTTATTTACTTTTGTCAAGTGTGCCGAGGATAGGCATGATGCATAATATTTTGCAGTTATTTCGATCAAGTCTTCTTGGGAGAACAAAACACTCACTTAGGTTATGACAGTGACATGAGCTTCAAGAGCAAATAAATTAGTATCGTTAGATTCGTCAAAATATCCTGTTTTCGAGAAGTGCTTACAAAAGTAAATGAATTATTATCCATGGCACACTTGACAAAAGTAAATAAATTATTATGAAGTATTTTCGTCAGTAATATTCAATTCATGTTCTTATTTGTAATCCAATCGCAAATAAATTAGTATCATTAGATTCGTCAAAATATCCTTTTTTCAGAAAGTGCTTATCAAGAAATGGTCGCCATTTGAAAAATAATAGTTAGACTGGAAAATGTAATTTTGCCAACTTGTCTTATTCATATCTATCATACTTGTAACTAAAACTGCGCGATTGCAATTTTCTGATATCACCTTATCACCTGAGGTCCTTAGATTAGTTTACTCCCGATCATGGCCACCTAGATGTAATTTCAAAAGTGACTAAAAAAAAATTAAGTAGGCATAAAAACTTTCGAAAATGTCACATTCTGATCTAGAATTTTCTCAGAAATCCAAAAATGTTACAATATACAGGGTGTTCCCTTTGAAAATTCAGAACCTGAGCAATTTCCGGTGAAACCGGAAGTAATCGGAAAGTAAAAAATATGTGAAAAACCTCCTCTCCACATACCATTTACCTATACCAAATCTCATTTTGATACACCTAATGGTCTAGAAGTTATGACTTGTCTAATAGATTCGTTGACACCCGGTATATATGTAGGTATAAGCAAATATTATAAAAACTAATTTTTTCAGTGCTGCAGGTGTTGGAGCCTTGTAGTTTCGGAGATCCAGAGATTTCAATATTTCACTAACTTTTCAAAGAATAAAATGGTATTACCGATAATAATAATGATGATAATAATAATAATAGTAAATCAATTCAACAACAATGTATCCATATACTCCTTTAAAACAATTGTCAAGAGCATTCTCTATATTTAAAGTCAATGTTCAACAGTTAGTTTCGTTATTATAGAATAACCACCAATTATACAGGATGATACATAATGAATTTCACACAAAGTAATAATAGAAACCTGACATCAGAATATGACAAGGTAAATGTCTCGGTAAATGTTGACAGTTTACAAGTTACAGGGGGATATAGATAAAATAGTTGATTCAATTATTCCAATGTTAACTATAGACATTATTTGGCCAATCATAATCTACCATTGCTATGTGTATAATTTATTAGGATTCAAGAATCACCCTGTATAATCGAAAGGGTTCAAGTAAATATGATATGAGTGAGCAGAAGCAGTAACAGAGTATAATCTGAATGGAAATTATGTTCCTTAAGGAACATATTTTTTTATTTCTGACCAGGATATTATAAGAAAATATCTTTATAGTTACACTATCAATAAAGAGGGTCGGTCATACAACCCTTGGGACATTAATATGGATTCCCATAATTCCCTCTACATTGATAACAAAGTTCTGTATATAAACAAGTAACATAGCAACAAAACTCCTACATTCATTTCATTTTGAAAATGAACAAACTTTTATTGAAATCAGTCAGAAATACAATTATCTACCATTATCTATGTACCACAGGAATTGATGAGCCATAATAACCTCAGGAGCAAAACTTCAATCAGTAATTAAAGCCCTTATAATTCCCTTGATACATAAATAATGATTGATGTGTAACATACAGGGTGTTTGAAAGGTTAAGCTTAGGTTATTAGGTATTTCATAACAATTACAAAAAAATCTCTTGAACAAACTCTGCTGTTATTTTGTGGTTTCCAATATTTTGCTTTATCATGAGTATTTTCATCTTAAAGAAATTGCCTATGTTGATGACCTTACACCATGTAAATAACATAGAAAGGTATACAAAGTCAATGGATCACATAAAAGTAAATATTGAAGATTATTGTGACATTATGTGGGTAGGAAGTAGAAAACAATTTTTGAATAGACACCACCCCCTGGTGTCTATCTAGGATCAATTTTCCATCTCAAGAAATAAGTGGATGAATATTTGAGAGCGAATTTCACCGAATTCATAATCAATAATGCAATAGAGTAATTATTGTATTCAATTTGATTGTTTTTTATTACATACCTGATGAAATTCCGGGCTTTATCAAACAAGGAACAACCTACAAAATGTACATCTGATGAGGCTATTCTTGAGGAATAGTGGTAGATCGAAATTTCAAAAGTATTTGATACGTACCAGTAAAAACGGTTGTGATTTGTGATCAATTTGATAAATTATTGAACAATTTCCACGAATCAGCGATTCGGCGTAATGAAGAACATTCTCTAACAACGCTCAAACATCCACCATTTTGATATCATGTTATCGTTATCATGAATTCTGGTTAATGAATGTCAATTTGTCAATATTCATGTCATTCTTTTTCTTCTTCTTCTTATTTTCATAGCTATTTCACCTCAGAAAGTCTTTTATCTTCTTCTTTGTTCTTCTTTATACATATTTTCATGAAATTGTTGACATTACTGCCTTTGGTCTTTGATTGATTTTGACAATTTTGATATATGTTTCGTGATATTCGTGATCGTGGTTTGGTTTGTTTGTTGTGGTTTCCTGTTATCTTCAGCGAATGAGGTGGTTTCCTTTCCTATCCTGATTCCTAATCCTTATTTCATTTTATTTTCGAAAAAGGGAAAGGTGTAATGTACAATGTTTTGAATGGACCCAAATAGATGACATGTTGTGTGCATAGCTATAACAAATGACCATAAGTGGACCCAATATACCATTTCATAACAGTTCACCTCCATCATATGATGAACAAGAAAGATCCATTATGCCTGGGTCTTCCATAGAAACTGGTGCACCCCCATCTTATGAGGAGGCAATCAATCCAAATGGTAAAATTGTAGTATTTTCAAGTGTTTCCATCACTTTGTAATATCTGTGCATATGTCCTTATGCCTCAAGAAGGAAAGCTCACTTTCTAAAATGTTTATATGTTTTTTACCACTTCTAGCTCCACCTCCATCATATGATTCTCTGTTTGGAAGAGTTCGTGTAGCACAAAAAACAAGTAAAGGAGTTCTGGATTTTCTGAAAAATCTTGTTATCATAATCTTAGGAACATGTATGTTTTTGATGTTAACATACTACATGGGACATTGAAAATTATCCAATATTTTTCATTTCTAGTGGGTTGTACCATAATATTAGGAGTCACAATAGTCATTCCAATATGCATGATAATAATGGGATCCATATATCTACATGACTGCCCCCAGGGAGAATACATTCCTGTATATTTGTTAGTAGGAGGTATGAATGAAAGAATGACTACATTTCATCTTATAAAAATTCTAAAGCAGTGAGCAGTTATTTATATTACCAATTTTCAGGCATATTTGGAATAGTTAAGCAACTTTTGCACCTCTCAGCTAGAGTAAGACAGACTGAAGAAGAAAGACAAGAAGAAAACTTGAGGCAGTCTCCCACACAAACCTTACTTAATTGTTTTATGTTGGGCTGGTTCATAATAGGTAAGGTTTATTGATTTTTCCCATTTTCCAATACACAGTTATACAAAATATGGAATATAAATTCCAATACTCCTGTTGCTACATAGAAACATTGATTTTATACTTATTTTCACATTTGGTTGTATTCATATATTTTTGGAGCTTTCATTTTTTGTTTCAATTCCATGACATTACCCAATTTCTATGCACCTGTTGAATTTTTTAATGATTTCTAGGTTCTATCTGGGTGTACAAAGAATATGAACCAAACTATGATCCATTGCAGGGTCGTTACTGCAACAAAAACCTTTATTTATTTGCCTTCTGGCTCATAACATCTGTGTACATACTTTTAGGCATGATCACATTTTGTCTGTGTTCAATTAGCTTAGCTACTGTTATTTTCCATACTGATCAAGCTGAGGAAAATGAGGTTAGTGGTCGGTTGTGGTAGAAATGCCTAAGTTATAAAATATTTTTGGTTCCACAGCATCTCCAAAAAATGTTCAGTGCAAAATATCCATGACCTTTATTTTGCAACAATGGAATTGAATAATCAGTTGCTATATGTGGTGTTACCAGTGAGAAAAAAAAGAAATTATTGTAGACTATACATATGCAAAGTTCTCATAAGACAAACTGCCAGAAATTCCTAATATAATACATGACATTGAGCATACCTATTATAAAATATACATATGATCATATAAGTAGAAATACAGTTTTTGAATATCAATTCTATTCAGATTCATATAACTATTATATTGACCAAATGAATACATTGCTTGTGATTTCTTTTTTATTTCCCTGTTTGAAATTGCTGGGGAATCAGGAATTAAATATTGGTATGTGCTGAATAGGTACCAAATGTTTTGTTCATATTTCACATTTTTTTGTCAATTTCTTTTTATTGGTGAAAAACCAATGTCCTGTCATTTAACATGAAACTTATGTTATGTCAAGCCACACAATTTAGATGTTTGTATATCTACTTAAATATGAATCTCTTATATCAAAATATCTGACATTTATAATTTTTATTGATATCTTCTTCTTTAATTTGGCTGTGGTTCTTTACATTCCACATTATGTAATGATTTTTCATCAGATGGTGTTGAAGTAAAATTATTCAAAGATGAACGGTTTATTAGTGGAATCAATATTTTCCAGGTATAATTCTTGGAATTCTGGTCCTATTTCATCATTGAGATGTGTTGTTTTCGACCCCAATACTGGCATTGACACAAAAAATTATAAATATTCATAAATGCACAGGTGTCCAGATGGATGTTTTTTTTATTTTGAAGATACAAAAAATTCTATTTGATTGGAATAATAGAAAACAGTCTAGGGGTCACCCAATTAAGATATTTTTTTCCAATATATTGGAAAACAAATCCAATACAAAAAACAATATATTGGGAAAAAATTCAATATATTGGAAAATGAGAATCATATGATAAGACATTGAAATGGACAATGGAGATTTTTTTAGATGCTTCATATTCCTGATGATATTATAGTACCTAAAGGGATATTTCAAGTTGTTAATATAACTTATTTCACCATTGCTTCAGATGTAGAATCAAATTTATGAAATTGAATGAAATAGGATGAATGTGTTGTGTTTGATTGTCAGTTAGCAAACAAGCAAAACATGATTGGAATTACTTATAGTATCTACAAAAATCTCCATCGCCCATTCATGTGATTCTCATTTTCCAATATATTGGATTTTTTTTCTAATATATTGAATTTATTTTCCATTATATAGGATTTTTTTTCAATACAGGGTGGGCCACCAGTAACGCCTCGGTCTCTAGAAGGCTAACCACTCATCTTCTTGGAATTCTTCCTCTCTAGGAAGTTGCATGTCAACATAGGCTACCATTTGAAATTATTTTGAAACATACAGGATGTCCCCAAAAATCACAAAACACTGAAGTTGAACTTTTTTCAATCGAACACCCTATATATTATTTCGTTTTGAGATTCTCCCTGGTGAGCTGATTTCAACAATCCATCATACTTGGGGTCTAGCAGTTATAATTACTGAGATATAGGGTGTGAGAAATCGAGATTTTCCAAGTTCAAGAATTTTTTGTGTCTAAACCATTCATAATTGGTCAAAACGGCTCACATGTCCCTATCTCAACTTTTGATCAACTATCTACTGACATTCAATTGAAACAAATACAGGGTGGTGCAGAATTCAGAATCTTGATCACCCGGTCCCAATTAAATATCAGTATATAGTTAATCAAAAGTTGAGATAGGGACATGTAAGCCGTTTTGACCAATTATACAAAAAATTCTTGAACTTGAAAAATCTCGATTTTTCACACCCTATATTTCAGTAATTATAACTGCTAGACCCCAAGTATGATGGGTCGTTGAAATCAGCTCATCAGGGAGAATCTCAAAATGAAATAATATATAGGGTGTTCGATAGAAAAAAGTTTAACTTGAGTGTTTTATGGTTTTTGGGGACACCCTGTATGTTTCGAAATAATTTTAAATGGTAGCCTATGTTGACATGCAACTTCCTAGAGAGGAAGAATTCCAAGAAGATAAGTGGTTAGCCTTCTAGAGACCGAGGCGTTACTGGTGACCCACCCTGTATACTGATTTTCTCCCAATACGTTGGATTTTTTTCCAATATTTATGAAATAAATATATTTTGATTGTGTGACCCCTGGACGCTTTCGTAGAATAATTATGAGGAATATAATATTTCTGGCAGATGTTTTTTTTTATATTAGGATAAACTGGAAACGACGCTAATTTACGATTGTGCACCTGGTATAGTACTCCTATTTTTACTTTTTGATGAAATGAAAAATAATGAGTGCACATAGTTGCACCATCAGCGTCGCTCCCGATTGAACCGGAAGTAGAGAATGTTGATTTCCTTCATGAACCGTTCGTCTAAATGCCATGCTTAAGTGTCTGTGATATCTAATTTGATAGATTTAGCATTTTTTAAATTTAGATATTGTTCACGTATTTCATATTTACAGGAAGAATAGTGTTTTCATATTTTATATTGTAACTAATATTGGCAGCTTCAATGTTTTTTTGAAATATCCCATTTTTTTATGTTACCAATATAAGCAACTTCGAATTATCTTCAGAAACCCAAAGTGTATATATTAACTACTGTACATAATGAATGAAATATTCTCCTGGAATCCCTATCAATGATTGTGGTGATAATTTTGAGAAGTGTACCGGCAAAATTGAAAGCAGTTGCCAAACATTTCGAAAAATTGTATGGATTATTATAACCATAGCATGTTTTCCAGGATAATATATTCAAATTGTGCAACATTAGATTTTGAATAGTTTTTGTACGAATTTTGTGAGCAAAAGACTTTTTGTTGTCGACATTCAGGGGCAAAAACTCGATCCCCTCCCCACTGAGATTAGGAACCGGATTATATTTAAATACGCCGAAACCCGTAAATTTTTTGATAAGAATCAAATCAAATCAAAACTGAGCTTTATTGTCCAAGAAACATTCTTCCTATTGACAAAGCGTGAAACTAGCATGTGGATAGATCCACTATGTCCAATTATTTGTACAAATATATAAAAGATATGAACATAAGATATAATTAATAAATAACACAAATACAAGGGTATAAAACAACTACAAAAAAGCCCTAAAAGCATAACATTTATATCACATACACCGCCAACTAGGTACCTAGCATAATAGTAAAAGAATCTAGAAATTAATTATAGAAATAAATTATACATGACTTCAAAACTTTTCGTTGTAATATTCCTGCAGGTCATAGTACGCTTTTTGAATAAGGAATTTTTTAACCTCCTTTCTGAATTTTTTTATGCAGCCAGTTCCTTTGAATTGTTCTGACAAGTGATTGTAGATTTTTTTGCTCTCATATATAATGGAATTTTTTGTTCGAGTCATCTTCGGTATCGGCAGAGAGAGGTGACTGTTATTTCTAGTGGACATAATATTATGATTCACCGGGTTTTTGTTCGATGAATGGTGTCTGGTGTGGATCAAGCAGACTGTTTCCAAAATAAAGAGGCAGGTGAGAGTGAGAATTTGTTGACTGATAAAAAGTGGCCTACAATGGTCCCTTGCTTTAGCCCGACACAAATAGCGAATCGCTCTCTTCTGTAGAATAAAGACAGAATTCAACAAATTTTGGCTACAAAAACCCCAGAAGGCTATGCCGTACCTGATATGAGACTCTATGAGAGAAAAATACGTGTTTCTGGCAATAGCAGAGCCAAGCTCATTTGATACAACTCTAATGGCATAGCAACCTGATGCTAATCTTTTTTTTAGTGACGTTACATGTTCTTCAAACCCTAATTTTCTGTCAATATGTATACCTAGGAATTTAGTACTTGTTCTGTTTTCAACTTGGTGTGTACCCAATGTCAGATTGTCAAACTCAAATTTGAAAGTAATAATATTTGTTTTCTCCACATTGAAGCATAGAGAGTTTGAATCGCACCAAGATTTGACTTCGTCGAGTTCCTGGGCTACAACTAATTTTAGGTTTTCTACATTTTTTCCATGCCAAAGGAGGGTAGTATCGTCAGCAAATAGAGTGAATTTTCCCGTGATTGGTAAGCTAGTTAGATCATTTAGGTATAATAGGAATAGAACTGGGCCAAGCACTGATCCTTGAGGAACACCTGATTTGACATGTGAGAAGCCAGAAGTTTCGTTAGAAATTTTAACGGTTTGTTTCCTTTCAAGAAGGTATGATTCAAACCATTTGAGAGCAACTCCTCTGAATCCATAATAATGTAGTTTTTCCAGCAGTATTCTGTGATCAACACAATCGAATGCTTTCGAAAAATCGCAGAATACTGCTGCTACTACCTCGCCCTCATTCAGACTAAGATATACATTCTCAAGGAATGAAAAAATTGCATCAGTTGTGTTTTTTGAACTTTGAAATCCAAATTGATATCGCGACAGTATATTATGTTTTTGTAAGTATTTAATCATTCTCTTTTTAACAAGTTTCTCTATGATTTTAGAAAGCGTAGATAGCAGCGATATCGGACGGTAATTTGATGGATCGTTGGTTTCACCACCTTTGTGAAGTGGAATTACAATAGCATTTTTCAGAAAAGCGGGAAATGACCCTGACTCGAATGATTTATTTATACATTCTGCCAGAACATATAAAGCAGTATCAGATAGACTTTCGAAAATATTTACTGAAATTTCATCTATGCCCCCCGATTTCTTATTTTTTATTTCTTTGAGAGTTTCTTTTAGTTCATGAATATCAATTATTGGTACAAAGAAGAAATTATTTGGGATTTCATTTTGGAGGTAACTAAGAGGGTCAGTCTGGCTCTCTAAATTTGATGTTAATTTTTCGGCAACAGAGCAGTAATAATTGTTAAGGATGACTGGATCAATATTAATAGGGGTTGGTAAAGAATTATTCTTTCCCCTCAAGTCATTGACGACTCTCCAGTGCTCCCTTGATACATTTTTGGCTTTCTCAAATCTGGATTTATAGTGTTCTTCTTTAGCACATTTGACTACATTCCTATATATTTTTCTGTATTTGTTGAAATATGTTGAGAAAAAGTCACTATTGGTATATTTCCTTATCATATTTAGAGATCTTAGATTTTTTGATGATATTCTGATGCCATTTGTAATCCATGGTTTTTTATGAGACTTCTTTATTATTTGCACTGGAAAGCAATCATTGAAAATTTGAGTTAATTGACTATGAAATATCGTAAGAGCTTCCGTCGGGTTTTGACTTATTGTCCAATGTGTTTCCTCACAGCATTTTTGGAAATTGTCGTAATTCTTTTTGCTATAGATTCTGCCATATTTTTTTTTACTCTTGGTTTTGTTTAGGGTTTCGATTGGAAATGAGAAAGTAACTGCCTCGTGGTCCGAAAGACCTGCAGGAATAACTTGGGCAATCCAACTTGATACATTCATACCCGTTTCCCTTACCACTAGCCCAACTTTAAAATCTCAAATTGGTCCACCCCACTTCCAAAACATAATGTTTGAGTCCTTTCCATTGTAAATACATTGTACTTTGTTTTTGGGGATCAGTTGAGATTTGATAAGAGTTATTTACTGAAGACGACATGTTGAAAAACATGCTAATTTCTAACAAAAATGGTTACCAATAAATTCTGCCCTGATAAGCAAAAGCCTCAATGTAAAAATTGTAGTGTATTTGTAGTGCTCAGCAAAAACACGGCAACTAGATTGGAGTATTTGCGATGTTTATGCTAAGCAACGGCAATTTACTGTGTTCTTGTTTAGTTTGGCCAATGATATTTTCAAATACGGGTTTTAAAAATAATCAACAATCATTATTTAGTTTTAACTAATTTTCGGCAAAAAATCGATATATGGGGGGTTTTGCTTAGCAGGGCAGCTAAATGAGATTGGTATCTACAGCCCAACCACATTTCTTTATATGCTGTGTTGATCAGTTTATTAATAAGAACAGTCTGGAATTTAATAGAATTGAAATGAAACGAAAAAATACTCAATGTATTGGTCTGAATGGCCCAATGTTAACTTGCAAACAATATATCAGCCAATTTTCGAATTCTGTTCAATTACTTAAGACCCAACTTTCTTAAAACACACATCTGGTTGTTGATAATAATTTGTGTTGTTCCACTTGGCTATTGAACTGGTATAGAAACACTGTGTTTTGTTACTATGCTTCCCTAGCCTAAAGTCGGCCAACACGTTGCCAAGTTTCTAGTTTCATTCGAAATATCCCCTAAATTAACTTCGCTACACAAGATGTGAAGCCACCGCTTACTTGCTGTGGTGAAGCAATGTAGTCAAGTCATGTTTTAGATGTAAATCTATTACCTGTATGAAGGAAATATCATCCAATAATAAAGCAACTAAGACTCGTTCCACATAATAGGTGAGCAATAACTCATGATTTATAAATTTTTAAAACCAGAAAATTGTCTTATTTCCAGAAGTACCTTGACATCTAGCATCTGTGTTTCACTCACTGAGTCAAGACGTCAGTAATTTGTAATTGGAGTAGCAAATTTCGACAGTTTGAGATTGTGACTTCATTTGTGATTGTGAGATATTCATAACATTAATGAAAAATAATGAAATCAAAGAGTATGAAGATCAATCAATAAATCTGTAGGAGTGGACGGATTCCTAATTTCATGAGGGGTCAAGTTATTGTGGGTAGACCATCTAGATACACTGATTTTTATCGTAGAATATAATGGAAAATATTGGAATGATACAATCTTCAATCTTTATTTGTAGCTGATATTGTCATATCCATTTCTCATATTATTATCTGAAGTTTTGTGCAAATCTGTCTATTGAGCTACAAGATTATGAAAAATATAAGTGCTGAATTATTGTCATTACAAATAATCAATATAAGACTGTTATATTTTTCAACTTTGGTTTTTGTTCAATGGTTAATAATGGTGCTTCGCCTAGTGATGAAAAAAAAAAAATTCATAATGGAATCATATAATAAATACTATATATTTTATAAAAATATTGACAAATATTTGTAGGTAGTCAGAAAAATGCAATCTTATAAAGCTACAAATAATGTAACAATTACTAATGAGTAATCAATAACAATAATTATTATTGCTGCTATATAACTCATTCAAGATGAATTTTTCAATTGTCACTAGAGTGTTCCAAGAAAACTTCAACCCAAATCTTCAAAACAGATTCCCTTGGGAAATATCAGTGAAAATCTGCTTGAAAAATTTGACTTGAGTAAGGTTTTTGTTGAAATATATATAATGCATACTGTAGATGTCAAAATTCTAACTTGAATTTTGCAGTCAGTGATAAATGATCGGATCCTAATCTATTATTTGGAATCCTGACAGTGTCCAATTCCTCTGTAGTTGGTAACCTGTATCTAGCTAGCAATTTTATCTTTGGCATTTTATTCATATCATTACTCTTATCTTCCTTCCCATTGTCACTACTACAAAAAATACAGAAAATCAATTTTGGGCAGGATCAACAGTCAGCTAAATATGTTATAAAATACCTAATTTTGTCTAAATTATACTCAAGTTTTTTTATGATGAAAGCAAAACATTCAGAAGAAATTAATAGAAGATCATAAATGAAACACAACAATTCCTACCTGTAAAATATATAATCCACTGTCAACCATTCATCTTGGAAAGTGGTTCCTTCTTTGACTCTCCTCTCATCATGTTCATTGATTTCAATTGTATCATGCCCATAAACAGAACTAAAGCCAAAGTCATGTGACAAAGCACCTGTGCCTTTAGAGGCAAAGATGTTGTCTTTAGCTTCTTTTTTACATATACTATCTGCATCTACCATACATTTTTCTTTGGGAATATTCATATTGTTGGTTCCTTTCTCCAAAAGTTTTGTGTGTTGGCAATTATCTAAATGATATAGTACAGGGTGATTAATCAAAAATGCCAAATAAGGGCTTTTCAAGTGTCAACTGGTCAACAGAGTAATAACAACCAGAATCCATTCTCATTGGCCAAATGTCAAGGCTATTCATATGAACCAATCAAATAGTGGTAAACCTAGTACTAGTTAGAATGTACCAATTTTTCACTTGAAAAGCCCTAGAGTAAAACTATTACTATAGTGACCTGTTATTCCTAAACTGGATGTCACTAGTACCCTTCCAGCATGATTTTCTGGATCTCTTGCCAATAACCTTGGTGACAACTGTTCATACTTCAAAATCCCCTTTGTTATGAATTCATATAGGTCAGACTCAGGAGAGGAATTCAAATCTCCTGTCAATATGACTGGAAGATATAGTGATTTTCTGGAAATATATGGAAAATTGAATAATTAGCTCTTATTTATTTTGACCATTAGTGAAAAATGGGTTTCATTTTATTTTTAATTCAAACTTCTCTAATGACAGATAAAAACCTCCTATTTTATAGTTATGTAGAGAAATTTTTCATAACTTACCCATGTTTCTTTTCATAACTATGTTTCTCAATGTCTGTCAACAAAAGTTGCATTTGGGCCATCCTTACATCATTTCTTTTTCTATTAAAAAGCAAATGAGTTGTAGCAACAACAAATTCTCTAGTGGGGTGCATTTTAGGTGCAAACTTAGCCACTATACCAATGTTGTCTCTGTCTAATACTGATACAATAGGCTGATAATACTCAACAAATGAGTAATCTTTCAGACTCACATTGTCAGTTTTGTAGTATATGGCACAACCATCACATTGCTTTCCTGTCCTTTTTTTAAAAATTCCTTCATAACCTAAAATAGATAGGTAGGTAAAATAAATAGTTTTTTATGGATTGAACAATAATTCATGCAAAGTTGAACCACAAGAAGAGCCTATAATTTGAATTATATTTATTTCCTTGAGATCAATTAAATCCAGAAGTTTTTTGTATATTATTTTAGATGTCAAGAATAACATAATTCATCAATCATCCACAAAGACAACATAATCAACTCACCTAATGTTTCTAATAATGAATAATACCCCTCAATGTGGGACTCTTGTACTTCCTGAAGGCATAAAATCTGGAATTTGATAAATATTAAGAAGACCTCAAGATTCACCATTGTGTAAACATACATCTGGCATGAATTTCTTAATCTCTTCCAAAATATTTTTCCACCTTGTTTGCCAATTCAGAGATTTTTGGTCATGTAATTGATACAAATAGGGATGTTGTTCCAGTAGGTCCTGTGCCAGAACATTGTAGGACATTAAAGTGAAAATGAAACCAGGTGTAGAACTTGGCTTTCTAATGACCTTTTCCCATAGCCTCACTGACATGATTCCTTCATCTGTAGGTAATTTAATTATGATTGCTTTTTTAATCAGGAAATTGTCAACACTAAATAGTACATACCTACCTATTCTTCACACATTTGTAGACTCTAAAATTGAATATTTGGGAAGTTGAATACATGTTTTTTATAATTGCACCAAAACAATTTTTACATGTTGAGAATCAATGGAATCAATAAATAATTTGTTTATAATCAAATATTAATCACTCACCATAATATGTTCCTGTCTGCTGATTCCTTGATCTCTGATCAAAGTTGCTGTGAAAATATCGCCCATGTGAATTGATTTGATAAGCACCATAATTATTGATATTAACAGGAGGTTGATGAAAGCCTGGATGAAAATTGGTATGGTAATATTGCATGTAATTGGGATTTGGATTCCAGACATGATTTTGGACAGGATAAGTAGGATACATTACTAATTGTGGGAAAGTATTCATCACAATACTTCCCTGGAGTCCTCTTGCATATTGGGGACCAACTCGGGGGTCACAAAACATTGGTACATAATGAGTATTACTTGGAATATTATAACCTCCAGTATTACTAGTGTTCTGACCATGATTTTCCTTAAAATTATAATTCATTCCACAAGATGAAGTTGAAGTATCTTCCCCCTTTAGATCACTTATTTTATTATTATTCTCAGACATAGGGCCCAGTTTCGATAAGTATTCATCAACTTTATGAGCTACAGACCTACACCAAAGATATTTCAAGGTTTTGGGCATTAGTGACACATAATGAAGATGAACTATATTTTTTTAATCAGATAACTTTTGCACTTTCATAATTGCATACGCCATATCTATTCAATCTAATCTTAATTTAATTATTTATAAATGTATTCAAATCACCTCATATACAAGAAATGACGACTTGTTGATAGTTTCATAGTTTGATAAGCGATGACATGAAATGACAGTCATGACACCATGACACTCACATGACAGTGATGACTGATGACACGACACCATATATTTACTATGTCTATATATGGCGCATCGCCTATACGATATTCCAACAAAAATGGGACCAAAATGAGCGCTACTTTTTGAATCTAAGGACGGAAAGTGGAGGATGGAAACAGCCATACTGGTAAAACAAGTTTCGTATTATTATTTCCCTACGTCGGCATCAACGCCTATTGGTCGATTTCGTTACCTATAGAGACAGAAGCACAGAACAGAAGTTGGTCCCGCTTTGAGGACAGCTATGGATCGTATATGAGTAGTAGCACGTAGTAGATATATGCACGACCATGCACCATCCATGCACGACACACTGACACAGTGACAGTTTGGTAATTTGTCATTCTTCTTTGCAGCCAGGCAGTAGACTGCAGAGGGTAGTTAACTTCATTCCTACGTACCTTGACCACAGAGTTCATTTTCATCACCACAGATGCCTTAACATCTTAAGGTCTACGTGGACAGAGATACATATATGTCATGTCACCAGGTCACCTTCATACTTCATATTTCATATCAATTTTCTGATTTCTGAAAAATCATTTAATTAATCATCTATTCATAATGTAATCAAAACAAAAATCCAACCCTTGATTATTTATTGTCACACACTGTGATGAATTCTACAGTATTTCAAACGATTTCAAATTAAATATATTTTTTTTATCTCCAAATTTTTAGTGACATGTTATCATTTCTTCACACATCAAGAAATCCCCAAAAAAATGTTAGGAATATGTGCACAAGGTAAGTATAGTATTAATATTTTATTATTTATTACTAGAAATAAAGGATTATAGTTACTTTCGTCTATGGTCATTTATGTTTAATTTGTGTTTATTTCACTTTCAGCCAATGCAGAAAGAACCACTATGAAGTTTTGAATTTACCAAGAAATTGCAAGTCTAAAGAGATAAAAGAATCTTTCATCAAGTTATCAAAAGAAGTAGAATGCAATCCATTTATCAAAACTACCGACCTCATTTTTGATTTGTTGCAGCATCATCCTGATTTGAATAAGAGCAAAGATGCCCATAAAATGATTTTGGAAATAAATGAAGCATATAAGATTTTGGGTAATACTGAATCAAGACGAATTTATGACTTAGGGCTTGCACCATCTGGGTTCAGAGAATACAGTAATAGAAATGACACTACTAATATTTACCATAATGAACAGTTTAGAAATGAGTAAGAAATAATTATGGATTTTGCAATGGTGTGAGGAAAGAATGAAGAATGTGTCCTATTCAAGAAAGAAACATTCTGGTCTTTTATCTACTTCTTTTTGCAATACATAATGTGAGTTGCCATTACTTATTTTAGTTCTCAAGTAGTCAGAAAATTTTAATTTTAATTTTCATGAAAAAACTACCTATCTATAAATACAATACAAGTTTATCTTGAAATGTGGTTCAGCTTTTCAATATTTCTCACTGAAAATTATGGTACTGATAATGGTGTGCTACAAAAGGAGTTTGTTGGTGGCTTTGAGGTATCAACTTCCTCAAGAGCTATAAGTGACTATCTTGGTAAATATTAATATAATTAAACATAAATGATAAAACCGAGGATAAAACAATTAAAATAAGCAAATGCATTTGAGTTATCAGTTCAAGGTAGGTACATGCTGGCACAACATACTTTTGTCACACCACTGTTTAATAGGTGCCTATATGATAGATCTTCCATTGCTATCACTGCCTACTAACCACTTTCTTCTATTTGGTCACTGCATGGCAGAAAATAAATAACATGAAGAGAACTAGAAATCAAATTACAGAAAAATATAGGTAGGTAATAATTAACAATTGCAGATCTATCATCAGAAATGTGCATGTATGAGGTATTACAGTCACAATGATATATTTTGTAGTGCTTGGAATGACAAATCATTTTATGAAAATCGCAACAAGTCCCAAGATGATTACTATAAAAGCAAGCCTTACTATGGCATCAATGGAATAAAAAGAACTTCAAATTTTAGAGTTCTTATAAGTTGTCTCTTCATTGCCACATTAGCAGTGGGTTTGCAGTTTTTTGTAATAAAGTAAGTATAGAATATTTGCCATGAATATAAAATATATGTTATTAGCAAGGTTATTAGAGTATAACAGTGTGAAACCAGCCACAAGTTTCAGCCAAGACATCACCAATATTTTAATATGCTTGTGACTGGCCAAGAACTCAATATGATCTTAAGAAATATGGATGTGGATAAGAGTTTTTTCCTATGACCTGTCAAAGTATGCACTGGTTGGCACACAATGAAATTATTTATGTGTGATAAATTGTTTTTATATGCTAATTCTTGTTGGTATCAGGAGTTAAGGTCATATAATCAAATAAAAATCACAAACAGTAAGAATTTAATTGTTCAAGTAACATCATAGGTATTCTATTAATTTTATATCATGCCAACAGATTCTAACTTATTCTCATCTTATTCTAACCTTAGTTGGATTGCCTTATATTCCTGTAATTTATTAGTTTATATGCTGTATACATCTGAATATCTGAATATTTTGTCAGGCAAAAAATCATCCAAGACCTGTTTTTTGCAATCATAACTTTCAGATTGTATGTAAATGGGTTATACATTGGCCAAAAATTCACTTCTCAATACCCCTTTTCCAAAAATTAAAAAAATTATCAAAACTTTTTAAAAAGGTATGTGCATGAATGCATTCCTCTTAGTCTACTTAGTAGCTATATAAGTCATATTCAATTCATGTTATGATTTTTTTTATTCCAAGAAATAAGGGGGGTCTTGGAGGGTCAGTTTTTGCCTGACAAAATATTGTGACATATACAGCATATAAATTACCCTTAGAGGAATATATTCATTGTGCTGAAAGGCCACCTATACATTTTTTCTTGAATCCCGACTTTAAAGTCAGGGGTTCGACTTTAAAGTCAGGGGTTCGACTTTAAAGTCGGGAGTCCGAGATTAAAGTCGGGGGTCCGAGATTAGAGTCGGGATTCGAATAAAAAAAGTATAGATGGCCCTGAAGGGCCTTCGTATCATTGAAAAAAAGTACCCACCTAGATATTTTGGAGGTTCAATAGAGCTGTTCACTATTCAGCTAGCAATGACATGAGATTTAAAAACATGTCTTCCCCATCTGTCACTGCTGTCCTTGTCTTCAGTGTTCGAACGTGAAATAATGACAGTTGTGGAAGACATATTTTCTTTCTCTCCAAGCTAGCTGAACTGCTCTATTAATTCAATGAAAGATTCATGAAACTCACCACCTTATTCTAAGGAACCTTCAAAACTGCGTGGTCCATTTAAAGCCTTTATTATTTTTCCGTTCAATAATCAAGGGTTATTATTTGTTGAATAAACTGAATTAATTTCCAAAACTTTGGCAGAAATAAGCATTTCATTTGAAAAATTTCATCACTCCATCATTTTTCAACTATAAGTCCCAAAGAAAAGATCTTGAAAAGATATTTTATGTTTTCAAATCTTGTTCTAGGAAATCATTTGAGCTTCAAGTAGACGATCTGATTGAAAAGTCAAATAGAGCTCAGGATTCTTTGAAGACTGTTAGAGAAACAGCCAATACAAATGGCAACCAAGTACAAATAGAAATTTTGAAACATAGATTTGCTGTTAAAGACAAAACTGAGTGATACATAATTTTTAGAACCGACAGCTGTTCAGTATACCTACCTATGAAGAAAATATACATATATTTTTATTGAACCGTCTATTGTCATTTTGAGCAACAAGATGATGTTATTTTTGAAAAGTTTGCTAGCAGCTTTTAATGATGCTAAGATTCATATTAGAGTTTGTTGATTTATCGTCACTACGAATATAGTATGTACAATATTTCATAACTACTACCAAAATGACTAGAAACAATTCAGGTAGATGTATGTAGGTAATAGTAGAGGTATGTATATTTTGTTTTTTTATCAATACAATAATACCTACCTGTACGTAAAAAAGTTCCAGGCAAACTTTAAAACTGAATGTCTTCCAAAATATTTATTTCGAGTGAAATGTACAGTCGTATTCAATAAAAAAGCGTACAAGTATTAAACGTGGAACATTTCGGCATTCTAGTTCTCGTTGTGTAAAATTGGCTCAGCCAATGCTTTGTGTTTTTGAGAACCTATGATTACTCTACTGTCAACATTTGGTAAACATTCATTCCCGATAGCCCGTTTTTCGCAAAAAGGATGACGTTAATTTCTCCCTCCAATATACTTATACGCTTTTTTTTCAATACGACTGTACTTTCATTTTGTCTTGTTATTATGTCTGCTGTTATTGTCACTTCATTAATCGCTTCAATTTTGGAAACACTTGTATGATTGTTCAAGAAAAAAGATATTATTCCTCCTCTACTACATTCCGAACATTTCAATAATTCCGATGATTAAAAAAATTCTTCAAGTACCTACATACTTATCGAATTTTTATATTTCGCCCCTTATTAAACGCCGCCTATGGTTTTCATCCGCTAAAATTATTGTTCCTATGTATACCGTATAGCACATACAACATTACATACAACAGCACATATACATAGATCCATTTTTATTATTATTATTGATATTTATCAGTTCAGAGTATCTGTAAACATGAATTCATGAACGATTTTCCTGGTAGATCAAATAGCTAGTCTAGTGTGTCGTCTCTGATATGGTATATACCTAACTATAGATACCATAGATTCAAACATGACTCCTCTTTCTTATAATATATTATAATATCTTGTATATTTATAGGGTTACACTTTTGATTCCATATGTTTGTTTTATAACAATATGTTGTGATAATTTGTGTTGTGTTGAACCAACCAGGTGATAAACGAGCAGGTGGTAAGTATAGGTATTAGTATTATGTGATCCATATTTTTTCCAATAAAATGTTTGATATAATACTTCAGTATAAGATATGATTCAATTTATCCTTCCTGAAAACAAATTGCATGAGTGATCAATGAAGTTCGAGGGATATTATATATAGAGGTCAGCTAGGGGTGTGTATAATTTGCAGACTGGAATAAAATGTTGCGGACTGGCTATTTCCATCAAACTTTTCGATGTTTTTATTGCATATCTGGATTCAGTTCACCGATATACACGATGAGAAATTTCAGTTTTTTTTTCTATGACCCCCCTGGGGAGCACTTTACTCTTGTGTTTTTTCATAAAATCTTGCGGACTGGGTATTTTTGAGAGTCAAATCATCTCAATTTCACTATAAATGAAGATTTTATGAAAAAATACACGAGTAAAGTGCTTCCCAGGGGGGCTGGGAAAAAAATTCAAAAAGTTTTCATCGTGTATTTTCATGAGATAAATCGACTTATGGTGAAATTGAGATGATTTGACTCTCAAAAATGCCCAGTCCGCAAGATTTTATGAAAAAAACACAAGAGTAAAGTGCTCCCCAGGGGGTCTGGGGAAAAAATTCAAAAAGTTTTCATCGTGTATTTTCATGAGATAAATCGATTTATGGTGAAATTGAGATGATTTGACTCTCAAAAATACCCAGTCCGCAAGATTTTATGAAAAAACACAAGCGAGTACGGTGCTCCCCAGGGGGGGGTCATAGAAAAAAAACTGAAACTTCTCATCGTGTATATCGGTGAGCTGAATATAGATATGCAATAAAAACATCGAAAAGTTTGATGGAAATAGCCAGTCCGCAACATTTTATTCCAGTCCACACCCGTCAGCTAGTCTCTTTTTCATCGTTTGGAGCACACGAAAGGGAATGCGTATTATGTTAAGTTCCCATATGAACTAAAGTCGTAGAAGGCTTCGTGTGGAAGACACTGAATCTGACTCCAAGTGGCACCGGAGTAAGGGGTATTTGATGTGTGTGATTTTTCAGAAAAAACATGGGTGCATGCGGCGATGAGACTTTTCGAAAATTCATTCGAAAATATGAAAGAGGATGCAATTTTGCATAAAAAAGAACCAATAGTGTTGAAACTCGTTAACTCGTGAACCCAAATAACCGTTTTCGAGAAAAACCGAAAAACCACAAACAGACCAAATTTTGCCACCACGATAAGCCATGCATACAGGGTGGACATAAAAAAAATTCAATAAATACAATAAAGCCTTCTACGACTTTTTTATTTTCTTGAGACGCGCCCTCTCTGGCTCTCTATCACCTCTCCAAGGGCGTTCCAGATATTACGAAACACCCTGTACAGTAAAGCTTCGTCGGGCATTATCATCGACCAAATAAGGCATTGTGAATTGTGATAAAAAAGTTATCGAGATTTTCGGAGCATCACAAAATAGAATTTGAAATTTTAGGTAGGATATTTTTTGTAACGACTATAAATCTCTACGACATCCTGACTATTATCAAGTCTGGTATTATCATTCAAATTCTTGAAAAAATTTGTATACACGGTGACTTGCAAAAATGCAATTATTCAAAAATTGTAACGTTGATAAAAAACACCGCTTGTATGAGATATTGTTCTGAACATTTTTATAGTATTTGTACCCAGTCTGAATTGAATGCCATTATCCAAATTTTTGGAAAAAAAATCCTTATCCGTTTTCTTCAATTTTCCAGGAGTTCTTTTGATCGCAGTAGGCTAAGAAATCGTGATTGCTAATTTTTCTTGCTCGACATTAAGTAGATAATCTTGAGTAGTTTATTATGAAAAAAAAAACAAATCGTCCTAGGAATACGAAAAGTACAGCACACTAAGCAAATTTGGAAGCTATGTTGATGCAATGTTGTAGCAACTACTGAAACGTTCAGCAATATTGCAATTGTAAATTTGAAAATGTAATGCAATGGCACTGCAACATGTAATATATTGCTGTACCTAACGCTATACATTACCTTTGCAATATTGCTGAACGTCCGTTTCAGTAATTTGCTTCAACATATATTGCATCAAGATAGCTTTTAACTTTGCTTAGTGGGAGGGGAGGGGTGGACCAAATTGTAACACACATTGTATAGAGTATATACATAAATAGAGATTATCAAACATTCTATAATGTTAATAATAATAAATGATAACTCTAAAAATTACACATCAAAAATGTTCTTGCAGATAAATGTTTAGCATGAAAATGCGCTTTGCCCTAATTTAACCGACCTCGTATCTCTTATATAGTATGATGCAAATGTAGGGAATAAATTCATTATTTCAGAAATGGGCGACATTTGAAGAAATTCCAAAAACACGTGAGTTTTAATTTTTGAAGCCTCATCTCATGACATATTCATATGAAAGATGTTACGTCACTGGTGTAGAAGTAATGACGTCAAAGAAGATTAACGCTATACTATATAGCGTTAATCTTCTTTGATGACGTAATGGACGATTTTTTCAAATACAAGCAGGGGTCATGTGACATCTCGTTTGAAAGGTCTACTGATCATCTATCCAACAGTCAAAATTTTGCATAAGAATATTGCAATTAAAATTGATTATCATTTGGTTAACTGAATCTTGCAGAGGTCTGCTACTGAGAATTGAACATCGAAGGGTCGTCTAGTTGAAAAAATACACAATAAAAAAAGTTCTGAACTCTAGTTTTTGGATTTTTTTTTCGGAAGTCGTCTTGTTTTGAAATGAATTTATTCCAACATTTGCATCATACTGTATATAATAACTGATGAGATCCCCATAGTAGAGCTCGAAAAACGGATACCCTGTATGATTGCAATGCATATCAGTCCTTGCATTCCAGCTGGAACACGAAAAGCTGAAAAGCACGTGGTTTGCGCGTGTACGTCACGTGACCTCACCTCTCAATTCTCATCGCCCTTGCGATCGATGACGGATTCTCCCGTCTGACGAGAGAACTTTTCTCTCTCATTAGTCATTGTTAGAGTTCACCGACGTTAGTGAAGAATTGAAGATTCCAGACTGACCAGAGACAAGAGAAAAGAGAACGTATAGGTAGTGATCAGTGCTGCACACTTGATGAGATGTGTAGGTACATTTTTTTCTACTTTTTATTGATGCCGAGTTCCTTTTTTCCATGTCTGCATATATATAATATACAGCACTGTCGCAAAGTGGCAAAAGCGTGTCATTGGCAACGTCGTTATATTGTGGTCATCTGATGCCTTTTGTTCGGATTCTTTCATCAGCTGATACATTCCATAGAATGTTTGTCCTATAACTATACAGGGTGTTCCTTGAAGACATGCTAATATTCGAGGGGGTGATTTTGAGGTACAGGGTGATGAAGTTTTGCAAAATATTCAGTGTTTTGATAATAACTGAAACAATATTGTATACAACTCCATGAAATTTGGTACACGTCTTTTATACATCAAGGTGCATTTCCTGATGTATAAAAATTTTCATTTTCTCTACCAGTTGCACCGTTACGGATTAATATTTCACTCAAAAGTGAGCAACGACAAAAAATTTTCAAATATTATACATTGTCATGAAAGGCTATTCATTATGTACAAAAAAGATCATTTTGTTGATACTCCATAAAACGCTTAGTTTTCGAAAAAAAACGGAAAAACGAGACGCGAGACTTCAAATTTTGATGTCTGAGTAGGTACTCCATATTCAGGACATACATTACTGGATAACCACACAGTATATGTAACATTATGAAATCTGTTTACTGATTCAGTCACATAGCAGACTGAATTTTTCCATCAAGAAAAGCTATATATACAGGGTGGACAAAAAATAATCTATGCAAGTTTGGACGTTTACGACATACGTTCATATGAAGTTTCATTGTTGAAATGGGTCGAAGAATCGGCCCCTTGAATATTAGCATATCATCAAAGAAACACCCTTATTACTATTCTATGAGAACTGACCATCAATCAGATGCCAGCTGTAGTTGATTAATATTCTTTTAGTGTTGCCGTTTTATGTATAATTATACAAATTATGTATAATTTGGAGGTCTGCGTTTTTTGTACCTATGTATCTTTCGATTTTATGTATAATTGTGCATAATCTGCAGGAAGCAACACTGTTGAATGTAGAAATTTTCGCTCGTAAAAATGAGAAAAAACATTCTGTGATTTGTTCAATTTAATGTGACAGTTTATAGTCACTAGGCACAGTACTAGATAAATATGTCAGATAATATATATATTATTGTCATTGATATATATGTTCTAATATTCCATGTTCTTGCCATTTCTGAATACTTCATCGTCAAACGATTTGTTTTTATTGTCATTGTAAAGTCCATTGATTTATACACCCAGTGCATGGAGATAGATGATATAATTTGATATTTTGAAATTAATTGTCAATAATTTATTTCTGAATTTGTCATTGATATTTTGCCAAAAATACATACATTTGCTAACGTGCCTTTTTGTGTGTGTATTTTACATTGGTCCTTCGTGCTATGGAAGACAAGCAACCTAATGAGCTGGAGCAGCGCAAGAGTGGTAGGATAAATAAAGGAATTCCACCTAGGAGATTTCTGGAATCAATAAGTTGCGATCCTAGGATTCCTTCTTTACAATCCTTACCTGAAAATGTTCCTACGAATGCTAGTCGTGCTTTCGTCGAATCCGACATTGTCAGTGTTGTTGGCCATCGAAAAGATGGTGCTATCCATGGAAGCTCTCATCAAAGGAAAAGTTCAATCGCTTCAAAAGAGTCCGTTGTTTCTCAACTAAACTTGGAGCTTGAGATGTTGAAGAAACAGAGAGAACTGGCTGAAGAAGAGAATCAAGAAAGAATGAGAGCTATCAACGAAAAACAAGATTTTCTAAGAAAAGAAATGGATCTTCAGAGACAATTGATTGAAGTGAAATCTTGTAATAACAGTCAGTCTGTAATTTCCCAAAGTTTATATGGCGACCCTCAGCATCTAAAAGAGTGGATAAACGA